AAAATACATACAAGTAATAAAATAAAAATAAGTAATAAAGGACAACACAAAATATATTTTAAGTTCACTATGAATATATCCAAGAGGCAAAGTAAGACTGTAGTGATTTTAGTTTTCCTTCCAGCAGGGGGAGTGAGGAGCTGTTTGATTATTCTTCTATGTTTGGTATGAGAATCTAATATAGAGCATTTAAACAACATCCAAATGTTTGTTGCATTTGCAGTCAAGCTACAAAGACATTTATGTTAACCATGAAACAGCACCCAACAGTGGAGCGTTCAGCATACTTGATTTTTTGGGAGTGGAAATAAGGTCCATTTCCAGTTAGCAGCTCTTACTGTCTGTGAGGAAAGAGCACAAACTGAATCTTTTCACTTTTTTCTAAAGGGAGAAAAAGAAACAGCCTAGAGAGTTCAGTCTCTGAATGTTCGGGCATTCCTAAGTGCCTTTCATTTGGCTTTGCCAGCTTCAGGCCAACCCCGCCCCCTCACCCCAAGGCCCCAGACAAAAATTATAATAAAAAAAAATATTATATATGTTGTAAATAACATTTCAAATATAGCTTACCACATAGGCCTATAGGAGTGCATGAGTGTGTGTTGCCCCTTCGCAATTATATCATGTTGCTTACATGGTCATAGAACACCTTTAAAAAATGTCCATGCCCGTGCCAAACAGTTGTGTTCCTAGAGAGCTAAAAGTATACCAAAGTGTATGTGAATGGCGTGTTTGTCTTTGTCAAATGAAATGCATGACCAACGATTGTGTGTTGTAACAAGATGATTGTAAAGTATATGAGAGACTTAAAAAGTTAAAGACAAGAGACAATAATGGAGAAGCAGGGTTAAGAAACATAAGCACAAAGCTGTCAGTGCTGCTAATTTTTGCTAATTAATCACATATTTGAAGGACGATCATCTTAACAGCCACAGAGGGCAGTTAACAGAGGCTCAGTTCTGTTATTCTAACAGTACTTTGTGTACACTCCTCGCTTAAAACAGTCTGCAGTAGATCAAGACAGGATGCATTTGCTAATGTCTTCTTTAGCAGTCGGAGGAATGTAGATGTTTCAAAAAGAGGACTGTTAATCCCTGTAAGTTCGTACAAAGCAGCTAGCACAAACTGCTTCATTGCCAGGATGCTAGTCTCAGGGCTCAGGGCGAGATCGGATTACTTCCAATGGCTGAAATCAGAGGAGGGAGTGCAAGACTCAGAGACGTGAGCCTCTAAACAGCTGAGGGTCAGTGCTCCCTTTGCGCAGTCTCTCACATCACACGTGCCAGATCCCCCACAGATTTGACTGTTTCAAAGGTTCATTTCAATCAAGTATCACTTTAATCATATCAAAAATCATATCTAAAGCCCTTTCTGTATTTTGTGGCTAATGGACGTTTGTGTAGACAATAAGAATTAGAGTGCAGCATCAGTCTTGACTGATGAAGACTGGGACCAGGACTCCTTTTCAGAAACTGCCTTTGGAAGACCATGAGTGGTAAAAGCTCTGTACCTTAACTCTAATGGTTTCGTAAGTTTCTGGAGGCTGAAGGGCTGCTGCCCTTCTCCTTAGGTTTTATTGCAAGGTCTCAAGTAAGCCAAGCAATCTGCCCTGGACAAGCTATCCAATCTATCTTTAGCCATTGCGAGCAAGTGAATGGAGAGCCCGACTTATCTTCACTGCTGTCATCGGGACTGCCAGTATTTTTAGGGGACAGCAGCAGCTGCAAAAGCATTTAACAGTCTTCCATGAACAATGACACTCGGGGTGTCTCAGGGCTGAACACCACAGAGGTAGTAGGACCGCTGTAGAGTACGGAGGGACGCTGTCAAACAGCATTGCGAAAGAACGTCATTATCCCAGTGCGGGGCAGGCGGATGCCTGGCAAAATGGACAGGTGACGACGACCGGAAACTGTTGTGGAGCAGCTCTGAAAACGACTTCCTATCGAAGCAAAAGGATTTACACTGAGAGCAGGAAAAGACAACAGGAAGTGAGCATCCAGAGGAGCAGGCCTGGGATTTCAGTGGCAGGATCGGAGGCCTGGCAAGGAATGTATGTCAACAATCAACCCTAGAGACTGAGGAGAGGTAGGTCACATTTGGGTTGCAAAGTGCAGCTTCACTGAGGTCAAAGGTCACTCTAATTAAATCAGAATAACAAACAAGAGGTTAATCTCCTCGTAAACCCCCTAAGAGAGAATGAGAAATGCATCATGCTGTGTTTATATGATGATTTATTGCTTGATAACTGGATGAGATGAGCTCTGATATTATTGCGTCATGCTTTTAAGCATGCAGGTGTTTTCTTAAAGGTTTCTCAAAGTGTAGGAAAGTATCTCAAAACCAGCCAGTGGGTGTTATTTTGATGTATATTTAGCAAAATTTGTCTGGTAGTGACATTTTTAACAAGGGCTTATGCTGTCTTGTGTGGGAGATTTAGTTTATACTTTTGGTTAAAAAGTTGGTTTATAAAGCATCATGAGCTGGAACATGACCACTGACTACTCGTACTCTGACTAATGATAGGGTGAGATAAGATAAGACCAGACAAGACGCTTTATTTTTCATTGTAGTTCATACAACTGAATTTTGTATGGCATCAATCCTTAAAAAAAGCAACACAGACAGTAACCTAATAGGCTACTCTTAATAAAGACTGCTCTTATTGAGAGACTACTCTCACTAAAAACGCTCAGAGAAAGTGACAAGTCCAACATGTGAACAACACACAGTGTCTGATAGATAAAACGTCTCTTATTCATTATTTAAATAATGTGATATATTGAGAGCAGGAAATTGCTGTTGTGAAATAGACACATAATGACTACTATGAATTTAATATTTTAACCCCCCCCTCACCTTCAACTAATGAAAGCAAGTATTTTAAGAACACATTAGGCATATTTTGAGCAAGAATTTTTTTTTGTCTTTCCTTGGTGATCTTAAAAAATTTGTAAGCTTTTGTTAGTATGTAGTAAGCCATGGATAATGTGTTGCACACAGAAATTCACACATTTCCCTGTCATGTTAGAGGCCTATCAGGGAATCATCTTTGAGGTGATGAATAACAAGTTATATGATTTAGTAGGATTGTGTTCCTTGACAGGAGAGCTGTGTGAAGATCAGGACTGTGTATGTAGTGTACCCAGTAAAGCAGATAAACTAGCTTTGGCTGCTGATCCCCTAGCAAGTAATTTCATGAGGCCAACCTTGCAGCCTGATCATACTTGAGAAGCCACCCATAAAAAAATCAGACATGGGGGTATAGAGACAGACTAGGCCTAGACTTAAAGTGCTACAGAAACAGCGTGAAGGATATTTTAGAATGGAGACATATGAACAGTGCAGTGCATGTGTTTCTGTTTCTTATTCTTTTTTAAACAAATGACAAATGAAACTAATTTTGACAATGACATTTAGCAGCCGAATTCTTCAGTGAGTCTGCCAAGAGGGGTGTGATGAAGGCAGAGCATATTTTGACTTCAGGGTCCCTTAGGGTGTGGGCTGCATCTGTGTGCTGGGGTCTGCAAGGTCTGTGTTTGTATGTGCACGCGTGTGTATAGGGTGTGCTTTGTGATACCTGACACATGCCCTCTCGCAGGTCTTTATTTAGGGCAGACTATATAAAGCACTTTCCCATTGAAATACAGCACCAGCTGTGCTTGCTATGTGTTGTGGCCGCTGTTGCACAAGGCCTTTTCACCTCCAGACCCTTGGCTTCGGCTTCTCTCACACATATGGCAAATAGAAAGTTCTGGGGAGTAAATGCCACAGCGAAATGCAATCCTATCCTTTCTCCGGCAAATCTCCCTAGTGCACAAACCACCACCCATACTCAAAAAAGAAGGAAACAGAAACCTGAACAAAGACCCTCATGTGAATCCAGTAAGTAAGACATGTAATTTCAACAAAATTAAACAAGGCAATTGCTTTTGTGTAGCACCTTCAGCAGCAATATTTAGTGCTACAAATAAACAAAGCAGTTTTACACAGAACCGTAATGGCATGAACGATGAATGGTGTGAAAAGTGAGAAACATGAAAAACAGTTACCAAGGAGATAAAATGAGAATGTATTAGAGAAAACAATTAATTAAACAACAGACTTAAATTATTGAGTAAAACGTGGTTATCTTAGCTGTATCTTAGTGTATCTTAGCTTTTATCATACATAAAGTCCCTTTATTTTTTGTCCTTTCCTGAAAATTCTCATGAATGCTAGCTGTAGTAACTGTCTTAAAATTGTGACTTCATTGGAGAGCGTGGATTACTCAGACGACAGAAATGACTCACGAAATGCTTTACCTACCTCAATTTGTTTCTTATCTTTATTCGAAAGGGTAAATTTGTCTCTGGCATTCAGTTTTTGTTGAATAAAGACAGAATCGCTGTTTTCTTTACATGTTTGTTTAATAGCCCAGATAAGAGTATACTAATGTGAGCTTGATTGTATTTGTTAGTCTATAGTTCAGTGGCTAGACTAGCAGTCAGGATTGATTGTTCCTGCAGGGATTGTATTAAACTTTCATGCTAGAATGCCCCTGTAAATTTCAAATTGCAGATATTTAAAAGTCCCTTTCATTTGCTGTAGTGACATGAATCGAACTCTCATTTTACTATAAATAAAAGACATTTTCTCTGTTTTGATCCAGACACCGGGTTACTCCAGAAACAGACAAAAAATCTGACGTCAGTGAGACAGAGACTGAATGCCTGTAGCCTGTTGGGCTGAGGTGAGGCGGGCAAGCGAACAGAGATGGATGTGTTTGGTGGAGCACCACGGTTCCTGGCCTACCCTCGGCCTGTGGTGGTGCAGAGCGGCACAGATGCTGTCCTGAAATGTCAGATTGGGGGTGATCCCAGACCTGCAGTCATATGGGAGAGAAACAATGAAAAAATCCATCCGGGGGGCAGATATCGTGTGTTTGAGGATGGTAATGTCTATAACCTCATCATTACTCTAGTAACAGCAGAGGATAGTGGCCAGTACATATGCAAGGCCAAGAACAGCATAGGGGAAACATATGCTGCAGCAACACTGAAAGTAGAGGGTGAGGCTCAGGAGATGGAGCTGAGGGAAGAGAACAAGCCCCGTTTTCTTATCAAACCCCTGTCTACACGCGTAGGCCGAGGAGAAGATGCTGTTTTCTCGTGTAAGCTCTGGGGTAACCCTAGGCCAGAGGTGGTTTGGGAGAAAGATGGAAAGAAGCTGAACGAAATCTTTGAGAGCACACATTTCAGTGTCGGCTATCAGGATGGAGGATGGTTCCAGTTAAAAATTTTTAAGACACGGGCACCTGATGGAGGGGTGTACACATGCAAGGCCAGGAATGAGTTTGGTGAAAGCCTTGCTGGCGCTGTGCTGCTAGTCGACGCAGGCCCAGGACATGAAGATGAGGGGAATCGCAATGGGTATAGTAATGGACATTGGAAGGCACATCAGGGAAAGCAGAGAAGTGGAAGGCAGGTTTCGACACGACTAAAAGACGAACCTCTGCCAAACTCAGCCAAAGTGAAAATGTTTGCAGTGACAGAAGGAAAACATGCCAAATTCCGCTGCTATGTGACAGGAAAGCCAAAACCAGAAATTATATGGAGGAAAGATGGAAGACTAATCTTGTCTGGAAGGCGGTATCTCTTATATGAAGACCGAGAGGGGTACTTTACACTTAAAGTTCTTTATTGTAAACAACAGGACAATGGGGTATATGTCTGTGCTGCATCCAACACTGCAGGACAAACCCTGAGTGCAGTGCATCTTTCAGTTAAAGGTAAGCTCTTAATCTGAAATAATTCACACAAAACAAAACGCTGTGTTCTGTGATATGTGACATTTGATCACACAGTCTAGTGTATGTTCAAATCAGAAGTGTTTATTTATGTTTTACATATCCAGAGCTTGGTTCTTGTATGTTTAACCACATGAAATGTAGCTTTACTCCAATGCCCAGGCTATACTCATTAAGATAAAGCAGATTCCATGCACTCTCAAGTCTGCAAAGTCACTTAGGTAGGGGGGCCAGTACACGTGATGGTGATCTCCTGAGGTGGGATCATATCACCTCAGACTCACATGGTCAACTAAACCATTAAAAGCAAAATGCTTGTATTGCAATATTGTATAAGGACCAGGCAACACCATAAAAATCAAAATGCATCAGACTCCCTATCACGAATAAGACTATTGAGTATTACAGCAAGCGTGAGGAAGAAAAAACACTATAATTAGAGATGATAAATAGTGGCATAGTCCCAAGCATCTTGACGTGATGTGACTTTACTAGCTAAATGCATATTAATGCATGTAATTTTGATCAGTTTCTCAGTGCCAGTCTTGTAGGCCACCTGCACTGGGCATTTTTTTGCCTTGTTCCTGCTCTAACATGCTTGATTTGCCTTAAGAAATACTTGATCATCATTAGTTAATGATGTGGCTCGGGTGCGGAGAAAGCTGTGCAGTGCAGGTGGGTTTCCAGGACCAAGGTTGGGAAACACCGGTCTACATTCTTTTATTTACTACTGGCTCATACTGTCTGTTGGTGTCAGTTACTGTTTATTTCCTAGACAACTCAACAATGTGTTAATGGCCCTTCCATAGCAAAGTCAAATGATTTTGCTTGTCTCTTTTTATGGGTTCTTTTTAACATGTTTGCTGAGGTGGTTTTTATTTGACTCAACTTATAGTAACTTGTATAAAATTAATAATACATTTAATTAAATGCATGGAGTGGATCAAGTAAATGTGTTAGCACCACAAATCAGAAACTTTTTTGAAAATGTATTATGAAATATCTGTCTTTTTCAACACCAGAACCACCCGTAAGATTCAAGCAACCACTCAGCGACCTTCAGGTCTGGGAGCGGGACCTAGCCATTCTTGAGTGTGAAGTGCCGGAGGACTCCGTGCCCATCACATGGTATTTGGAAGACAGGCGGCTGCAACCAGGAGCTAAATATGGGATGGAAGAGTGGGGGACAAAACGCCGACTCACAATCCGTGACATCGGAATTGACGACGATGGCATCTATCTCTGTGAGATGGCAGATGGAGGAAGAAGCATAGCTGAGGTAGCTGTCAAAGGTAAATATCTAAGAGTCAGTTTAAAACTTTCTGAGCAGGGAGTCAACACAACTCTGATCAAACACACTGCTGTGTCTGATCAACTCATACGAACACAATACACACTAACATGCCATTACCACATCAATGTCACTGCAGTGCTGAGAATGATCCACCACCCAAATAACACCTTCTCTGTAGTGGTCCTGTGGGGGTCCTGACCAGAACAGGTTAAAGGAAGCTATCAAAGTATGCAGAGAAACAGATGCTGTAATGAGGTCTGTAATTGTAGAACTTCAAAGTGCACCTGTATTGAAAGTGGAGCTGATAAAATGGACAAAGAGTATAGATAGAAGGAGGTGTACTTAATAAAGTGGCTGGTTGGTGTAGAATTGTTATATTGACTTTTGATTTCGCATTGCGTTTGCACTTTCTGTGTAGGTACCATTGTAAGAAAGCTTCCCAGAAAAGTGGATGTTTTGGAAGGGGAAAATGCAGCTTTCTGTGTGGAGGTTGAAGAGGAAGAAATGGACATTCACTGGTACAAAGATGGAGTAGAGTTAAGGGAAACGCACCAGACTATCCTCAAATCATTTGGCAGAACTCACATCTTGGTCTTTGTCAATACTACACCCCACGATTCTGGCATGGTTATCTTCTATGTGGGTAGATCAAAGACATCGTCTCAGCTAAGGGTGAAAGGTTAGAAATCAATAATGCATGACCATTTCTTTTTAATCTGAATTCATAACCTTTATAATGTGCATTATTTCACTCTTTTCTTCATGCTTTCTTAGCTGCAAGGCACTGTCCACCTAGCTGTCCTATAGGAGTGCAGATAAACACAGAGCGTGCAAATGCAGCACTCCTGTCCTGGGTTCCAGCACAGGACTGTCGGAAGAATCCACCCTCGGGCTACATCCTTGAGAGACAGGAAATGGGCTCTCAGGAGTGGCTGCAGTGTCTCACTACTGACTCAGCAACCTCTGTGGAGATTCTTGGTGACAGTGTTCCCTGTGAAGCTGACTACAGATTCCGTATTTGCAGCATTAACAAGTATGGAAGAAGTGGGTATGTGGAGTTCCCTCGAGCGGTTCACCTAGGTAAGAATAGTGCATGTTTATTTATATTTAGTTGTGTCTGCATTCATGGTTGGCATGGGTGATTGACTGCAATTAAGAATTTAGTTTCATTTAAACAATTTCTTTTGTTTCAACTTTGTTGAACACATACATATCAACAAAACACTTGTGTCTTTTCCAGTTCCAGTGGCCAAAATACAAGCACCTTTACAAGATGCCTTGGTGCCAGAGGGTCAGGATGCCTGTTTTTCCATCGAGCTGTCTGCATCAGTCATAGGCACTTGGTTTTTAAATGGCAACCAACTTCAGGAAGACGAACGTTTCTCCATCAGGCGGTCTCGTACGCACCAGTCCCTTCGCATTCGTGGTGTACGAGACACTGACAATGGAGCTGAAATCACCTTCATTGCATATGGAATTCGGGATTCAGCAGCTTTGTATATACAAGGTAGGTACCTGTATGTGCTTTACTGGTGCTCCTCAAGTATAGGGATGATGAGGAAATAATCAATCAATGCATTGTATACATATTTCTTTTAACATGCAGCTCCATTGGTTAAATTTACTCCACTTTCTGAAATGGACCGAAATAAGTTTGTGGAAGTTGGCAATCCAATAGTGCTCTACTGTGAGCTTTCTGATCCTGAAGCCCAAGTCCGCTGGTATAAGAACGGCATTGAACTGCACTCAGTAGAAGGTCTTCACATCCAGTCGGAAGGAACAATGAGGAGAATCGTCATTCAATCAGCTGAGTTCTCCCATTCAGGAGTTTATACCTGTGATGCCATAGATGATGTCATCAGGTTTAATGTGGAAGTCGAAGGTGAGTCTTGTCCGTAATTTCAACTAACAAAACTACTAACCAGAATCATCTGATGACTGGTTTGAGTTTTACCTGGTTCATATGTGTTGTTTGAATGCCCGAACTTGCATTGAAATATCACACGCAACATGAGCAACCACAATAACACTGATCAAAACACCTATAGCTCCACCTGTGAGATTCACAGTGCTTCCTGACGTTGAGAGAAACAAGTCCATTGAAGCTGGTTCTCCAATTATACTTCAATGTGAGCTCTCAGATCCAAGTGCCCAGGTCTTCTGGTACAAAGATGGAGCAAAACTCCTGCCACAGAGTGGACTAGACATCCAGTCTGATGGCACTAAGAGATCACTGGTAGTCCAAAAGGCTGAATTTTTCCATTCCGGGGTGTACAGCTGCAAGACAAAGGGTGCTGCAGTCCAGTTCAATGTGGAAGTCAAAGGTGATTTAGTTTTATTTTGGTCAACATGAGGAATTACTCAATAGTGTTTGACCAGTATTATGCATTTTTATGCAGATAGTATGCAACATAACAAAACTTTATTATTGCAAAGTTGTTTAAATCAAATTTGTTCAGTGTTTGAATGAAGAGCTATTAGAAGTGTGATTTTCAAGAAGTGGGAATTTAAAAATACTTTAAAATATCTATAGCTCCACCAGTGAGGTTCTCAGCTGTCCCAGACAATGAGAGGAGAAAGTGCACTGAAGCAGGCTGCGCAGTCATTCTACAGTGCGAGATATCAGACTCAACTGCACAGGTCCACTGGTTCAAGGATGGAAAGCAAATTTTCGTAGAATCTGGAATAGACTTCCAATCAGAGGGCCGTGTACGGAAATTAATCATTCAGACAGCAGCCCTGTCTCACTCTGGTGTGTACAGGTGCACAACAAAAGATGACGCCGTCGAGTTTCATGTGGAGATCAGAGGTGATTCTGCCATCTTTGTTATTGTTTGTATAACAAATATTAACTTGATGTCCTCTTTCATTAATGCCACTAATATTTAGTGCCTTCTGTGTTGTTCTTCTGTGACATTCTTTAAAGATGTTTCAGAGGTATTTGTTGCCTTCAGATTGTAGCTTTTAGACATACCTTTTCAGGCATCATTTGTTAAATGTTGTCTCAATGTCTTAGATATTCTTTTTTATTTGTTCATGTGGAAAAAATCCTCTGTTACAATCTTGATGGTTCTGTCGTGAATCATGACCTGTAGCTGTACCAGTGCGGTTCTCAGCTGTTCCTGAAATTGAGAAGAATAAATGCATTGAAGCTGGCAGTGCTTTTGAGCTTTGCTGTGAGGTATCAGACCCTACAGCCCACGCCCGCTGGTACAAGGATGAATTAGAGCTCCTCCCAGAGACTGGCTGGGACACTCAGGCTGAGGGCACACTGAGGATGTTGGTAGTCCAGTCAGCAGATCCCAGTCACTCTGGACTTTACCACTGCAACACGTCTGATGACTATGTCCAGTTCACTGTGGATATCAAAGGTGATTTGTGGTTTTTTGAGAAAGCCAGTAAGCCAAACTGCATTTTTTTAACTAGATGCAAACTAACAAAAAAAAAGCTTATTGCGTTGTCTGTGTCTCATAGCATTACTGTTATGGACATGCCTCTTACCTATGCATCCTGTCTTGTGGGCAACTGTTTGATACTGTTGTTAAATGTTTTGCATTACTTTGTTTAACTTGCTTCTTGGCAGAAGGTCTGAGACATCACAGATTAATCAGGATGGGAAATTCTTCTATAAACTGTGAGATATTAATGTTATGTATATTCCACAATCATGTAAAGCTCCACCGGGGAAGTTCTCAGCCTTACCAGAGATTCTGAAGAACCAGCTGTTTGAAGCAGACTACCTCACTGATCTACGCTGTGAGATCTCAGACCCTCCAGCCAAGGTGTGTTGGTATGAGGATGGAGCAGAGCTCAACTCAAAAAGTCAACCTCATATCAAAAAGGAGGATTCCAGAAGGACACTAACTGTCAAGACAGCACAGGCCTCCGAGTCGGGACGGTACGACTGTGTGAGAAAGGATGATGTCATCCAGTTTAATGTACAAGATGAAGGTGATTTTTTGAATATTTGCCTGTAATCTACTAGCTTTTAGAGTGGCAACTAACAACTTTGCGCTCTGTGTAGGTTTTCCGCTCTCTTTGCCTGTATTTTCACAATGGAACTTGTATATATCATTGGCTTTTAATAGCCATTACACATTTTAGTTTAAATAACTAGTCATCGAAACTGTATAAAGTATTCCTGTATCAATGATCATCTGTAGCTCAACCTTTGAAATTGCTGGATGTTCCTGAAGTTGAGAAGAACACATGTATTGAAGAAAGCACCCCTGTTGTACCACAATATAAAATCTTGGATTCCACTGAATGTGGCTATCATTTAAAAGATGAGGGAGAGATTCTGCTTCAAGCTGAAATTGAGTCTGAACCTCAGATTAAATTGGAAGGATCCAAAAGTCCTTTAATCGTCAAGTCATCTGAGATACCTCACAATGGGACAAACAGACCTAGGACACCAGATGATCCCATCCAGGTTAATGTGGATAAAGGTGCTATGCCAGTATTAATTTGTATCCCATTCTGAATTAGGAGCATTGACATGGTTGAGGCTAGTCAGCTTATTGTGTTCTTTGTGGCTTTCCTAACAGCCGAGCTGTCTCACTCTGAGGTGTACAAGGGTGAGATCTATGATGACTCTGTCCCGTGCACTGTGGATATTAAAGGTGATATAATGCTACTTCACCCTGAGCATACTTAACCCAGTGCCTCTGCGCCACTAACCACGGTGGTGTTTAACCCTTTTTAAGGCTGTTCCTCGAGATGCTGAGGCAATGCACCTTGGTTTACCCATCCCTGAAAATGCTTCCCAAACTAATCCTGCTATCATGTCTTAATTCAACATCCAGTTGGTCTGCAAACCCTTCTTCCCAGCTAACAATCATGTAAAATTTTACTTGCAAATCTTCATTCTTGCCGCACAACATTACAGTAAACTTTCCATTTGCTTGAGTTATCTTCCCCATGCTATTCAGAGCCACTATCATTATTTCTTGCAATGACCTTATGAAGTGGGAATGAAAGAACAGATGCTTGAAATAGAATGAGTGAGTGGGTGAATGAAATGATGAACACAGCAGAACAGATACTAATGAAAAAGGATCATCAAGTAACAATGTTTTCTGTTTTTGCTTTACCCAGTGTTTGACTTGTTTCTAGACCACTCTGTGATATGGTCGTCTCTCTTATTTTTCTTTTCTATGTTCTAAAATCTTGACATTAACAATCAATGAGAACAAGTCTTTATCAGCACTTCTGACTAAGAAGATGGAAACATACTGAAAGTTTTCTTTGTGCATATCACACAACCATTGCTGAATCCCTGATGTTTACAGCAGTTCCTGAGGTTGCAAACAGCGAGATTACTACAGAAGGATGCCCAGATGAAGTCCAACATGTGATATCGGATTCTTCTGCCCAAGTCTGCAGCTACAAGGAAGAAAATCCACCAGAACCTCAACCTATCCAGCCACAGCATCAACCTATCCAGCCACAACCCCAACCTATCAAGCCGCAGCCTATCCAGCCACAACCTCAACCTATCCAACCGCAACCTCAACCTATCCAACCACAACCCCAACCTATCCAACCACAATCCCTACTTATCCAGCCACAGCCTATCCAGCCACAACCTCAACCTATCCAACCGCAACCTCAACCTATCCAGCCACAACCCCAACCTATCCAACCACAATCCCTACTTATCCAGCCACAACCTATCCAGCCACAACCTCAACCTATCCAACCGCAACCTCAACCTATCCAGCCACAACCCCAACCTATCCAACCACAATCCCTACTTATCCAGCCACAACCCCAGCCTGTCCAGCCACAACCTCATCCTATCCAGCCAGAACCCAAACCTATCCAGCCAGAACCCAAACCTATCCAGCTAGAACCCAAACCTGTCCAGCCAGAACCCAAACCTATCCAGCCAGAATCCCAACCTATCCAGCCAGAACTCCTACCTATCCAGCCAGAACTCCTACCTATCCAGCCACATCCTCAACCTATCCAGCCACAACCTCAACCTATCCAGCTAGAACCCCAACTAATCCAGTCACAACCTCAGCCTATCCAGACAGAACCCCAAACTATCCAGCCACAACCTCAACCTATCCAGCCACAACCTCAACCTATCCAGCCAGAACCCCAACCAATCCAGCCACAGCCTCAGCCTATCCAGACAGAACCCCAACCTATCCAGCCACGTCAACCTGTCCAGCCAGAACCCCAACCTATCCAGCCACAACCCCAATCTATCCAGCCACAACCTCATCCTGTCCAGCCACAACCTCAACCTATTCAGCCACAACCTCAACCTGTCCAGCCACAACCTCAACCTGTCCAGCCACAACCTCAACCTATCAAGCTGGAAACAGAGTACATTTTTGAAGAGGATCGAAGTCACTTGAAAGTGCAAGAGATTTGTACGGATGACGATGTTTTAGCATTTAAGGTGGATCGTGAAGGTGATTTAAATAGTTAGCTCCATCATTCAGCAAATAATGATGAGAGCAAAATACATGCCATTTCAACATAACCATCTAATTCCATTTTCCATTCTGATTCATTAACTGAATCTGAATAACTTAAAAATAAACAACTTGCATGACTTACAAATGTGGTCTGGGGAGGTTTTCACAGGGTTCATGAAGTTACTTGAGATTCGATAAATAAATAAATAAATCCACTGAGACATATTTATACCTAACAAAGACCATCTTTCCATGAAAAATGACTAATATAATAGTATTTGAAATCACAATCACCTAAAAAGTAGTGAATAAAATTGTATGTTGTTTTTAATGTACTGAAAACTAGTAATATATATCGAATTAAAGATAGCAATATAATCAGCTTTGATGTGGGTTTCGGATTCAATCTGAACCTGTCAGCTTGAGACGTTGTTCTATTTTCCTTTATAATAATACAAATCTCTCTCTATATGGCTTGATACACCTTAGCCCCAAAGACGAATTTCTCAACTCGTCGTGAAGTGCCGGACAACAAGCCTCCTGAAGCAGAATGTCTCAGAGTGCTGAATGAGATCTCTGAGCAGAAGGCCCAAATCTGTGGGCAAGGAGAAATATCGATAGTCCACCAACAAGATGCGACAAACGCCACATCTCATCTCATCTCAGAGAAACAGTTTGCCCAGTTATCAAAGAAGCCTCACAAAGAGGTGTACAGAGCTGAGACTAAGGATCAGCCTGTGACATACCAAGATGAAGTAAAAGGTGACTCAAGGCTATGTGTTTAACATACTATTAATTAGTAAAAAGCAACTAACACTGTCTTGCCTTTTACTCAAATGCTCTGCAACTGAGAGAGGTGTACTCTCCTTAATTAGATAACTCATTTTATGACACAACTTTGTCTCTCCAAAACTGAAGCACCTGCACCTAAACTGGTGAAATTTGCCCCACTACCTGAGACTGCCAGGAACAAGACCATTGAAAGTGGCATGCCTCTAGTACTGCAATGTGAGATAGCAGACCCAGAAGCTCCAGTTTCTTGGTACAAGGATGGAATACAGCTTCAAACTAAAAACGGATTAGTGATCCAGTCAGAGGACCGCATACGGAGGCTGGTTGTTCCAACCGCAGAGCTCTGTCACTCAGGGGTGTACAACTGCGAGGCAATGGATGATGTCATAAAATTTAAGGTGTATGTCAAAGGTGATTTAAAAATTAGTTTAATCCATGTTATAATCCATCGTTAGTATAACGCAAGTCACATAAAACATAACAAACCAATATTGAACCCTTAATCTGAAAATTTTGCAAATAACAATAGATCCACTAAAAAATAAGCATAACACATTTGTGTAAGTGTTATATAACTTTGCATAGCTTTCTGTAAATAAATACATTTTCTTTTCTAGTGCATGAAAACAATTGATCGCAAGTTATTTTATCATACTTAAAACATACTTGTCAAAAATAAAATTAACCACTTTCTTTAAAACATGCTTAATCAAACCTTTTAGCTACACAGCTGAAAAGTCCAACAATCCCTGAGACTGAGAAGAATGAATTGACGTCAATTGAAGCAGACACTCTGAGGGTTCCACAAAGCGAGATATTAGATTCTACAGCCCAGGTCTGCTGGTACAGAGAAGGAGAAGAGCTCCTTCAAAAAAGTTTAGCTGTCAACGAGTCAGAAGATACTTTGAGCACTCTTGTCCAATCCGCTGAGCTGTCTGACTCTGGAATATACAGTTGTGAGACAAAGGATACCACCATCCAGTTTACTGTGGATCCACCAGGTGATTTCTTCATCGTCTTTGACAGCTCAACCCATCTGATTACAATACTAACCCCTTCAATCATGCAATGGTCACTAGTAGTCACTGTGTTTAAAACTTTGTTTAAACTGAAATTCTAGATGCATCACACCATTCCAACTATCCACTGTAAGTAAGCTAATTAATGTAACTGAGAGAAAACAGTAACAAAAATCTTAAAAGTAGCTAGGTATTTCCTAAATTTAAGATGGATGCTTGATCTCAGATGATTAGCCATCCAATGATATTAACAATAGAATTTATGAAAAATTCAGTTATTGAAATTTCAGTTTTGCAGCAACTGTATCTTCAACTTGAAAGGCCATCTGTGCTACTTCTTACTGATATTCACTATGACTACATTTAAAACAATTTACAACATAACTTTAACCTCACACATCCCTTGCTAACATTCAAAAGGCCTTACAGAACCCAGAGGGGAATCATGTTGCAGCAAAATTCCTGTTATTATTAGATCTATATCTAATTACACAATGTAACTTATCATTTTAAATCCTCTACTTTCCTGACAAGTAAGGGTAATGTGTGTAATAAACTACTAAAAATCCTTTTCCATCAAACTTATAATTCACTCTTCATGTTCCCTTTTGTCCTTATTGTTAAAAGTCTGTGGCTTTCAGTAGTCTCAGTCATTTACTCTTGCGCTACTAATTTTACATCATGTCCATGTTATTATTGTCTAAGCGTGTTTGTTTTTTATGTCTAAGCTTTTGGCTTGCCTGTATATTCTTATAGGCATTCAAATGTGCCATTATCTCTCTTATATGACAAATCACCAATTTAAGCAATAATTTGGTGCAACTCTGAAGAATCTCTGTAGATACAATACTTTTAAATGTATGTATTTGTTCTGTAAGAACTATCTATATCAGTAATTGTATCCTTGTAATGATGCCCATAGTACCACCAGTGAAGTTCTCCGCAATCACTGAAGCTCAGAGGAACAGAAATGCTGTAGTTGGAGAGCCCTTTGAACTGCAGTGTGAGGTCTCAGATGCTGCTGCACAGGTTTGCTGGTACAAAGATGGGAATGATTTGCGGTCTCAAGCTGGAGTTTTCATTCTGTCTGAAGGTGCAATACGAAAACTCAGAGTGCAGTCAGCTCAATTGGCTCACAGTGGAACATACAGTTGCAAGACAGACACTGATGCCATTACATTCAACGTGGAAATCAAAGGTGATTTGCAGACAACTCCTTAATTCTGGACACAGCATGAGTTTAGTCTTCATCATAGTTAGTTTCGACCGAAGCCTAACAGCTAAATAACTTGGCTTATTTCTTGATTGTCAGTATAACAAAAGTGAAGTACAAGTAAAGCTAAGTACGTGGAAAAACACTGCTTATGTTTTACAATAGAAAAACTTACAGCCTTTCCCATTTGTCTATTACATCAACCTGATTTTGTTTCTATGCTACTCATAAATTGTAGTGCCATCACTGAGGTTCAAACCACTGTCAGAGATGGAGAGGAACATACGCGTTGAAGTAGGCTCGCCATTTGTTCTGAAATGTGAGATTTCAGACTCTGCAGCCCAAGTTTGCTGGTATAAAGATGGCTCAAAACTCTCCCCCAAAAATGGACTTAATATCCAAACCGATGAAAATTTGAGGATATTAAGTGTTCAGTCAGCCAAGCTTTCTGACAGTGGACACTACACCTGTGGCATTCCTGATAATGCTGTATCATTCAAAGTGGACGTTCAAGGTGATTTTCGTGATTCTGCTGCATAAAGTATGCCACTGTTTAGAGCTTTGGAATCACCCTTCATCTATTTAATCAAAATGGTCATTAAGTACAAGTTATTCATTTTTTGGTATCAGGAAAAAAGAGAAAACAACAAAAAACTCTTATTATAGCTTCTGTTGTTTTCAGATGACTCATGTTCAGTTTTCTCACACCTCCCAAGTTTAGTTTTGGTTGTATTTTCTGCTTCTTACGATCCAAGTAATTTGAAACTTTAAAATTTGCAAATTTTCATTTTATTTTTTTCTTTTCTTTGGGGTGGTCCTCTTCTCAGTAAGGGTTTCTTGACAGCTGGACATCCTTTCAGATACATAACAATGACTGGTCTTCTCACAGTGGAAGGATGGACAGAAACACCTGTGGATTTTTTTTATATCTATAGCAAGTGTGGAGGTTGGTTTTCTCTCAAAGATGAAAGCTTTAGGTGCCGTTTATCTGTTGGTGACAGTTTTGGGAATCTACCAGGTCTTGCACAGTTATTAGGAGTCTAATTTTCTCTATATCTTTTAATCATTTTTTGAATTCATGTTTGGAAGCTCCTATTTTTCACCTATTTTTTTCATTATTCAAGTGGATTATCTAATCAGAAATATCTCCAAAAAATGAACAGTTTGTACATAATGACCGTTTTGACTGGAAGGCTCTGATTTCCTACAGTACTATACATGTATAAAATGATTCTATTATGATGCTACTACTCTACAACTTCACAGATTTCAGCTAATTTAAGGAAAACTAAAAATAACTAAAATAAAATAATGACCGAGAAAGCTGTGTAATATTAAGATCCAGAATGCATTGTATTTTAAGTGATCAAATTTTTAAGCAGATTACAAAGATTGTTGTAAACAGATAGTTACATAATTTCAAACTCTTGATGTCCCCAATAAAACTGAAATGCTGAGTACCTATATGTCTAGCATACAATATTTCATTGAATAGCAGCAATAATTATTATGACGTGATTCCAAAGGGCAGTTATATATAGTGTAGATATATTTTAATTTGTATCCACAGCCTCTAGGAAAATTGATTATAGGGAAGTTGATTCTAGGGAATTTGATTGCCTTCTAACATTCTACTGCATCTATTTAAATTTAAGTTATAACATGATATGCAATTATGTCTGAGCTCAAGTATGAAAGTATCCTTTGACTAACAAATTGCCAGTATGATTATCTGAATAGACTATCAGAGTGTTTTGTAGTAGATGTTCTTTTGGTCCCTCATTTGTCATGTTTCTCAATCTCAAAAATTTCCATAGTTCCTCCCATAAGGTTCTCAGCACTTCCAGAGGTTGCAAGGAACAAGTTCATTGAAGCAGGCTGCCCCATTGTACTTCAGTGTGAAATCTCTGACCCAACTGCCCAAGTTTCCTGGCTCAAAGATGGAGTGCCACTCCTTCAACAGGCTGGACTTGACATCCAATCAGAGGGCACCATGAGGACAATGATCATTCATTCAGCTGAGCTCAAACACTCGGGAGTGTACAGCTGTGAAACTAGGGATGATCGCATAGCATTCAAGGTGGATGTTGCAGGTGATTTTGAGTCTATGTACTATTTCTCAAAACCACTAACAATATGTCAAATAACGCTTCATCCACTAAATGCTGTTTGTCCTTATCAAACTTTAACAAGTAAATGTATGTAACCAAATAGTGAAAACCTCATTATGTGAAAATCCAAACACAAATCCTTCACCACCAATAAAAATACATGTCAATATTTACACAAGTCATACTGTTTTATTTTACAAAGCATCTGAACATTTTACATTTCTTTACTGCTCATTCTGGTAACATTTAAACATGTTTTGAGAAACAACATGTAACATGGTGTACCCTCCACTATGATTAATGATCAGTAAACGTTTCATTCGTACACACCTTTTTGTCTTTTTTCCCCTCATCCATCAGTAAATGGATCCCTAACTTTAAAGAAAAGCATTGGCAGAGAAACTATGTCTACAAATCTGGTAATTACATGAATTTCTTTGAATGAATGAAAATACTCCTAGCTCCACCAGTGATGTTCACTGATGTCCCTGAGATTGAGAAGAACAAGTCCATTGAAGCAGGCTCGTCTATCGTTCTCCAATGTGAGATATCTGACCCCACAGCCCTGGTCCAATGGTACAAGGATGGAATCCAGCTCCTCCCTCAATCTGGAGTTTTCATGCTATCAGAGCACAACATGAGGACACTGATTATCCAGTCAGCCAAGTTTTCCCACTCTGGGTTTTACAGTTGTAATACAGCTGATGATATCAGCGATTTTTATGTGGACATCGAAGGTGACACATAAAGCTTATCTGAAAGACTGTCATATCACTAACAAATACATCATTGTGTACTGTTCCATTTTTGTTGGTTGAAAGCATTCTTCTTTATCTTTGGACATATCCATTCTGCTGCTTCTGTGGGCTACTTAACCATTTTGCTAATACAGGATCATTGTTATTTGATCCTGCACAAAGCTATTTGCAATATTTCTGCCCCATTCGCCATTCTTAGTTGCCGTCTACGCAGCGTCTTGGTGCTTTGTGTTTAGGAAGAAACCATGTAAGGGGATTAGCATGCCAAGTGAACGTTATTTCTGTACTTAACTGCACTTCACCCTCACAAAGCTTTCATTAACTATTATTTCTTGGTATTATTTTTGGCTTTTAGAGTGGAGACAGATTTCTCCAGAGCTGCCAAAGCCATCAACATCAGTGCTTGACCTTAATGCATGCTTGTTAGAAAAATAGTGCAAAATATGCAGATAGAAAGGAGGATTGTCACCAAACAACTAATGTGTTTTATTTGTTTGTAGCACCTCCTGTGACATTTGTCTATATGCCAGAGGAAGAGCTCCACAGAAATATTATGGAACAGGACAATCTCTTCCTTTGTTGTGAGGTGTCCAGGTTTGATGCTGCTACACAGTGGTACAAAGATGGAGTTGAAATACAGCCCAGTGACAAAGTTCTAATAGAGACAGAAAACACCATACGGAAACTGATTATCCAGTCTGTTCAGCTGTCAGATGCTGGAGTGTACACTTGCCGTGCAGGAGACAATGCCTTAATCTTCAAGGTTAATGTAAGAGGTCAGTGAACTATATAAGTTTTTGTACGTTTGATGTGAAGTTGAAGGTGTGTTGCAATGTACATACATATAGAGAAAGAACACACAACAATATGACCCATGAAAAAAGAAGACTTAAAGAAAGTCAAACATGAATACATAAACTGTAAATATCTAATACTAAAAATAAATACAACACTAAAACACCATATATAACAATGTACTTATATAATATTACTTATGTCAAATCAAATCAAATCAAATCAAATCAGATTTATTGTCACATCACAAGAGTACAGGGACACAGGTGAGTGAAAAACTTGAGTGCGAGTTCCACAAATTATGCAGAGAACAGTATTTACACATAGATAAACAAAACTATGGATAGGATAGAAGAATAGATAAAACCAATTTAACTAAAATATATACATATAATCTTACACAATAACTTAAAAATAATAATATTGCACTGAGACATATAATATTGCACTGGGAATGTAGAGTGAGTGTAATCAACTATATACTATATATAGTAATGGATATTACAATGCTATGTAGATGTGCAAATAATCACACTAGGTGTGGAGGTAGAAGATGGTACAGTAGGTGGCAGAGTATTTAGTAAAGTGCAAGGTACAGGAAGTTAAGTGGAAGCGCAGGGGGAGAGTATTGTCTTTGGATAGGTATTCAAAGTCCAGCTATGCAAGTAAAGTGCGGGAGTACAGTGGGTGCACGTACGTGTAATGGGAAGGGTTGGGCTGGGCAGAGCAGTGATTACTGGCTGTTCAATAGCCTGGTTGCATGGGGGAAGAAGCTGTCTTTGAGCCGACTGGTTCTGGCTTTTAAGCTTCTGAGCCTCCTACCACTCGGCAGCTGAGAGAACAGACAGTGACTAGGATGGGAGGGGTCCTTCATAATCCTTCTGGATTTCCTCAGGCAGCGACTGGTGTATAAATCCAATAGGTTAGGGAGCTGAACCCCGGTGATGGACTGTGCTGTCCGCACCACCCTCTGCAGAGATTTCCTCTCACGAACAGTACAGTTCCCGTACCAGGTGGTGATGCTGCCCGTCAGGATGCTTTCCACAGTGCAGGTGTAGAAGGTCTTAAGGATGCTGGGGTTCAGGCCAAACCTCCTCAGCCTTCTGAGGAAGTAGAGGCGCTGGTGGGCCTTCTTCACCACCTGTGAGGTGTGCACTGCCCATGTCAGGTCCTCGCTGATGTGAACACCGAGAAACTTAAAGCTGCTGACCCTCTCTACCGCAGTCCCATTGATGGAAATCGATGGGTGTACTGTCTCCTGCTTCCTGAAGTCCACGATCAGCTCCTTGGTCTTACTGACGTTTAGAGAGAGGTTATTCTCCTGGCACCAGTTTTCCAGGATTTTAACCTCCTCTCTGTAGGCCGATTCATCGCTGTTGGAGATCAGGCCCACAACTGTTGTGTCGTCAGCAAACTTTATGATGACGTTGGAGCTGTGTCTAGCAGTGCAGTCATGGGTGTACAGGGAGTACAGGAGCGGGCTGAGCACACAACCCTGGGGGGCTCCGATGTTGAGGGTCAAAGAGGAGGATGTGATACTTCCCATCCTTACCACCTGCCGTCGGTCCGTCAGGAAGTTCAGGATCCAGCTGCACAGTGTGCTGTTCAGACCCAGATCCCGGAGCTTGCAGTCGAGCCTCGAAGGAACGATTGTGTTGAATGCTGAACTGTAGTCTACAAACAGCATTCTCACATACGTGTCCTTCTTTTCCAGGTGGGAGAGGGCAGTGTGCAGGGTCAGGGCGATTGCATCGTCGGTGGATCTATTCCGCCTATATGCAAATTGCAGTGGGTCCAGGGTGGCAGGCAGTGAGGAACAGATGATATCTCTGACCAGCCTCTCAAAGCATTTGCTTACGATGGAGGTCAGGGCAACAGGTCGCCAGTCGTTCAGACAGGTAATACTAGCTGTCTTTGGAACTGGCACAATGGTGGCTAGTTTGAAACTAGCTGGCACGACCGAGAGAGACAGTGAGGTGTTATAGATGTCTGCAAAAACTCCTGCTAGTTCCCTGTAGCAGGCTTTAAGCACTCTCCCGGGAATGCCATCTGGTCCTGCTGACTTGCGTGGGTTCACCCTCTTGAAGGCTTTGCACACATCAGCTACGGAGACGGAGGGGGCGTTGGGATCAGCTGTGGGCGGGGCGCTCTCCAGTGGTGTTGCGGGAATTCCGTCGAAGCGAGCGTAGAAGTTATTAAGCTCGTCCGGCAGATCAGCGCTGGTACTGGGCAGAGTGCGAGAGGCAGTTTTATAGTCAGAGATTGTATTTAACCCCTGCCATAAGCTTCGTGTGTTGCATAAGCTTCGTGTGTTATGTAATATATTTATGTAATATATTTATAATTAGTAGGAATATAAGGAGCTTCCTTGTGCTTTAATAATTCAGCTTTCAATTAGATTAAAATCCAAAATATTATGTGTTATGATCATTATTATTATTGTGTATTTTTGCTCCACAGAGCCTCCAGTAATGATAGTCTATCCCAAGGAAGATGTTCACCTTGATCGTCATGTTCCTGAGGAAGTAGTCCTCAGCTGTGAACTTTCCCGCCCCAATGGAAAAGTGACTTGGCTCAAAGATGGACAAAAACTTCAAGAAAGTGAAAACATAAAGCTAAAGACAGAAGGTCCTTACAGGAGGCTAAAGATTCTTCACAGCAGAGTTGAGGATTCAGGAGAATATGTCTGCGACACAGCTGATGACTCAAAGTTCTTTTATCTCAGCATTAAAGGTACCAAAATTATTTTATATTATTTACACAGTTATAGGAACATCTACATTGTAATTGTCAACTGTGGTCATGGCTAAGTTGCAGAAGGAGAAAGACAGAAATATAAAATGACACTTAAAAAATGACACTTTAAAATAGGTCAGTTTCATCTGAATGATATTCTGATTTGTCTGACTGCATCAGGCAGTGAGTTCTTGGTATGTGTTCCTCTAGAACCTCCAGTGCGCATCGTTTCTCCAAGTCAATCCCAAATGGAACTTTGCCAGCAAACATCAGAGAGGATGGTGCTGAGTTGCGAAATTTCCAGACCCAACGCTTCCGTGCGCTGGTATCGTGATGGGCTTGAAGTAGAAGAGAACAACAACCTAATACTGGAAGTTGATGGTGTTTACAGAAGACTCATAATACCAGAGACAACAGTCAGTGATTCTGCAGAATACGTGTGTGACACAGCTGAAGACTCTGTGACTTTCTTCGTAAATATTGCAGGTGCTCCAAAAAACTGCTGTAAACTTGTCCAAAAAACAGAACTTTTATGTTCAGTGCTACAAAATGCAGAGATTATAACCCGTTATACACTGTTGAAGTTACTGCTAGTGAGAGTTTATTCATCCTTCATACCTGTTTTGGAAAAATAACAAAAACTGAAAAATTCTTACAGGTTTACTGAAACTTGTTTTACTGTTATTTGTTGTAGAACCACCAGTGCGATTTATTCGGCCAAGGAAAATGGCCTACGAAGTAGAAAAATTTGTTGGAGATACAGTAGTCCTTGACTGTGAGGTGTCTAGATCAAACGCCGAAGTCAGCTGGAAGAAGAATGGAGAGGAGATTGACGAGAACAGCAACATAACGATAACTGAAGATGGCAGTAGTCGACAGTTAACGATTCATTCAGCAGTGCTTGAGGATACAGGCCAATACGTCTGTGATGCTAAAGATGATGTAATGGACTTCCATTTGAAAATACTTGGTAAGTTTCTTTTGAAATATAACATACTGTTTTGTTTTATGCCGTACCGTCCCAATTAGAATTATTTACTTGTTTTCCTTGCAGAGCCTCCAATTAAATTTCTGCAAAAAGCTGATATATCAACAGACATACACGTTGTAGTATCAGATGCTATTGTACTGAAGTGTGAACTTTCCAGAGCAAATGGTGTAGTCCAGTGGTACAAGGACAACGAGAGAATTGTGGGTAATGAGCATTTTATCTGTGAAGAAAAAGGGGCATTCAGATCTCTGATTGTCCTGAATGCTGAGATCAGGGACTCTGGGGAATACGTATGTGACGCAAAAGATGACAAGACTGTCTTTAATGTCACAGTGCAAGGTACAAAAGAAATATCAATGACATGCCTCTGTTGGTACAGACCTACTTGATGGGAAAATAATATTATTAACATAGACACTATGTCATGTACTTTGCAAAAGTCAGAAGCCACTCTTCATTTATTTAATTTCTGGTCAAAACAGCTATTAAGTACAAGTTATTTATATGTATGTAGATATTAGATATAAGAGGTTAAAGGAAAATAAGTTAAAAAACATGAGTTTCCAAAATGATACAGATGCAGAAAAAAATGGGACACTTAACAACCGTGCAAGACCTAGTAGACCACCAAAACAAAAATTTGAAAATTAAACAAAGAAGCTGTGGGATTCTCAAAACAATAGACTGACCGATACAGACCTTAACATCATTGAGTGTGGTTGGGATAAGAAGCAGAAAATGAGGTGTGAAACAGCAAGTCTCCTGAAAATAATGGAAACGGTAATAAAGGCAAAGGGCACACTAAATACTGGAAAGTCTGACGTTGTATTTAGTTATTAAGGCTTTAATGTAATTTTCTGTTAAATGTGTTTTTTACTTGTACTTAATGGGAGCTTTGAATGGAAATTATATAAATGAAGCTTGGTCTCATTTGCACAGTACTGTAGATTTGAAGAACTAAAACCAGATTTCCTGTTTTCTGTTCAGAAGCACCAGTCTCTATCCTAGGAAACTCTGGGAATCCAGAACACTACACACTGGTTGCTGGGGATGAGCTGATACTTGCGTGCGAGGTGTCTCGAGAGAATGCCTTTGTTCAGTGGCTTTGCAATGGTAGAGTGCTGCAAGCAGATTCAAGAACACATATTGAAAGTAGAGGCACAATGAGAAAATTTGTGCTTTCAAGCCTTGACATATTTGACTCGGGAGAATATGTCTGTGATGCTACCGATGACAAAATGACAACAATAGTAACAGTTCAAGGCAAGCTTACTTTTGATTCACTGAATATAGAATATAAAATAAGTATGCTGTAAGCTTTCCACTTTATAAGACAACTCTAACTTCCGAATGTCATTGTCTCTGTTCAATAGAGCCACCACTCAAGTTCATCAAAAAGGAAGAGAGGACAAATATTACTGCCTATGAAGAAGATAGTGTAACACTATGCGCCATCGTGAACAGGGACAATGCCCCTGTGAAGTGGCTTAAGGATGGTGATCAAATTAGGGATGATCGTTTTTGTACCACAACTGATGGATGTACTCATTACTTGACCATCAATCCTCTTAAAAGGTCTGATGCTGGAGAATATATATGTGATGTGGGCACAGATGAGATCCACTTTAGTGTCCATGTCAAAGGTAAGTCAAGTCTAAAAAATATTTGTGTGTGTTTTTGAACTTTTGACCTTAATAGCAAGTTGATCTGCAGTAGCTCTGGAATTAATGTTGGTCTTTGCCTCACAAAAATTGTAAAATACAAATAAATAGCCTAAGAGATATAGAGATATACAGAAATGTGAAGATGTCAAGGAATCTCAAGTTATGCAGAAATGAGATTGCAAGGAAATATTTTGTCCATATAATGAAGTCCAACTCGCGAGTGGTCAGACACTTTAGGTCAGTAACTATTTCTTTTGAATAAGCTATGAAGGTGAAATTCTCCAAGCCACTGGAGAACATAGTGGGACTCAAGGACAATGATGTTGTATTGAGGTGTGAACTCTACAAGTCCAAAGGAGATGTGCAATGGCTAAAGAACAACCAAGAGATCACACCAAACCGGCATTTCACAATCAGGGCAGATGGGCGAGAGAGAAGCCTCACAATACACAATGTAACAGATGACGATGCAGGAGAATATGCCTGTGAATCTAAAGATGAGAGAACATCTGCAACAGTAGTAGTTGAATGTAAGTATATTTCACTGAGGCTTTCCAACTTGATACTATCTAAAGTTACTAGATGAGTTTCTGCACAGACAGCTTAGATAAAATCATACTACAACATACAACAGCAGACCATTAGAGACAATTAACAGAGAAATGTATCCCAGTTTAGTGCAAAATTACATTACTTTAAGTTTTAGGCACCTGAGAAAATGAGATGTAAAAAGATATTTATCTTATCAGAGGGCACTAATATTTGTAGTTTTTTTACATATGTCACATATGTCAATGTGTTTGTTCAACCATTTCCAAACCCCCTTCTCATGGCAGCACAATACCTGGTTTGGCTAATCAATACTTCATTAAATTAAATCAGGTATACTGGTGGTGGAATTTATTAAATCCATGTCATGACTGGGGGCATAAAGGAGAAATACAGAACAAAACTTTGTTCATTACACTAATCCATAAGATATCAACTACTTTTTTGGAAAACATTTTACTATATTTATATTTTTTTCTACGTTCAATCACAACATAGTGTTTTTTTACAAACACACTTGTTGTCAAGACAACTGGTTTTAAATAATGTGCTTAGGTGCCTAAAACTTCTCCACAATACTCTGTGTTTAATTTGTCTAAATAAAGTAATTGTATCCAATACTATGATCTCAAACAGATCTCTTATTTTAATCTGATGCTCTTCTGTGATATCGTTTTACTTCCAAGCCCCTCGCATTGTGGAGTTTATTGCTGAGTTACACAACATAACCGTTATGGAAGGAGAAGATGCCACATTTAAGTGTGTAGTGTCCCCAGAAGATGCAGAGCTGGTCTGGTGTATGAATGGCTGGCCTATTATATCAAATGAAAGGTTTAACATCTCAAGTAATGGACTATGCCATATGCTGCACATCAACAACTGCCAAGTATCAGACAGCTGCAGGCTGACAGCCGAAGCTGAAGGCGTGATATCCAAAGCAATCCTTCAGGTTCAAGGTGGGATATCAGCTATCACTACTGCATCACTTTACATTGAATGAATCAATTATATTCCCTTAGCTTCAACATTTTCTAGCTGCCTGTTAAATCTTCATTCATTTCATGTGATAAACAGAACAATTACAAGTGTCTGTTACAAGATCAGGTTGGGGTTCTTAATAGTTCTTAAACTGTCATTGATGTAAATCTCAAATCAAACTTTTCCATTGCAACCATGAAGTGGGGAGCTTTATTAAATTCTATGAGAGCCTGGACAGGTCTTTAATGCCATGGCGACATATTTGACATAAATAATGACCCCCTCAGACATGTCTGAATTGTTGAAAAGGTGCCTATGATGGTTAGTGCTTAGCGACTTCTCCCGTTAGAATTCCACTGGTAACTGACAGAGACAAGTGGAACTACTGCGCACAGCACTAGGGAGTTGTACTAAAGCAGGCACACACAAGTCGTGTCCCTTTTAAAGTGTGTATTATAACAATATTCACAGCAGCGAGCAATCAGAGATTGTCTGTGTTTAGAGGCCCAAGTGCTGTTCACGAAGAAAATGGAGTCTGTGGTGGCGGAGGAGTATGGGGAGGCCACTCTTGAGGTGGAGGTAAGCCTGGAATCCGGGGAAGTTCAGTGGATGAGACAAGGCGTAGTCATACACCCAGGGCCCAAGTTCACCCTGAAGCAGAGCGGCCAGAAACGCTCCCTCACAATCCACAAGCTTGCCCTTTCTGACCGGGGGATGTACAGCTGCGAAACACTCCACGACCGCACGCAAGCCAAGCTCAGCGTGGAACGTGAGTCTGCACGTGCTGCTGCCTTTCTCACTATGCGCTGTTGTTATTTGTTTATCATGGTTTCTGGTGATGCTGGCCCTCTTTGCCGTTGTTGTTTTCTTTGAACAAATTCAATTAACTGAGTAAGAGTAATACGAGAGACGAGCAGCTACTTTAGTGACACTTGTTCCAGAGCTTGACGGCTAGGAACAGGTGACCAACAGAGGACTCAGTAATTCCCAGGGAGCAGATTTCTGTATTGACACAAGATCAGAGGGGTCATGATAATTCAATTAAGCATGTCAAAGGAGAACCGGATTGAGAGCTGGAGGAAGGTCTTCATGCTGTAACCTTTTAATCCCTTTTACTTGGCTGTGAAAATGTAGATATTATCAGCAGAAACAGAGAATACTCTTTGGTTCTTTTCACAACATTCCAGAACAATTGGATCACTCCTCAGCAGCAATGAAACAGCACTTGAAGTAACAGACCTCTACCCTAATTTATATTTATGTATGTTGGTAAAGAAAAGAATAATTTGTACAACATACATAAACACTGTCCAATTGAAATGTGTGTATCCATTGTAAGAAAGCAAAAAAGGAGCCTGTAGATAAGTTTAACTGCAAAAGAAAGTAATGTTTTGTAAGCTGTGGCCTTGTATAAATGAGCATGGCTAGGGGAAAGGCTGTGCTTTGGCTGTTGTTGGCACCTCTTATGAATTTGGATCTCTTTTCATTGCAGCTAAATTTATGCACTGGCCTTCAAAATCTAGGGTGGTGTCACCAACTCTCAAAAATAAACTCCCCTTTTCCATGGGGAATGCCTCTGTGTTGGAATACTTCAGAAAATGTTGGCATACCCTGGAACACAAGCAAGATATAGTGTAATCCTAATACTGGGTGGAGGAAATCAAGCAGGCAAACTCAACAACTGTCATTCTACATTATAAATATATTCTGTCCCGAAACCTCAATCTCTCAGTGTTCATCACTCTGTCTGCTCTCTATTTGTCTATCCATAAATGTTCCCCCTCATAGCTTACCGTGAAGTATCTGTAGTTTCTCTGTACCTTTCACCATGGCAACTTTTTCTAGGTTCTCATAACTGCTGTTTCCATGTACACACAGCTCGAAAAATCAAAATACGGAAAGGACTGAGTGAGGTCCAAACCTTTGAGCGCGAGACGGCATCCTTTGAGGTGGAGCTGTCACACAGCAACGTGGAGGGGGCGTGGCAGAAGGACGGGAGCCGCCTCAAAAACAACAACCACTGGCGCATGACTGCCAAAGGCCATGTGCACAGCCTTACCATCTCCAACCTGTCTCTGGAGGACACTGGCACCTACACATTCTCCGCTGAGAATGTAAGGTCATCTGCTAGGCTCATTGTTAAAGGTAAACATACTGATTACAACTATATATAGAAAGAGATATAGGTCAGTGCAGGAAGGACTAATCAAGTTGGTGATCCATTTGAATCTGTTAGTCTGGATGGGCTTACCAAGTGCACTCTTGATGTTCACAAAATGGGCCATTGATACTTCTCCACATGAAGCACAGCAGGTTCTAATCAAATGCCCAAAATAACACGTTTTCAAATAAATAACTTGGACAATTGAGGCACTGTTCATTAAAGGAATGATTCAGAGAAAAATCAAATTTACACAATTTTCCACTCACCCCAGATGTAGTCGATTGACCAAGACATGTTTGGTGCCCAAATTTTGTTTCCTTGGGTTATAGCTGGAGCTATGACGCTAATGTTGCTAACAAACATTAAAGTCAATAGTCACCTATATCTTTTTGTAAATACATGCCCAAAATTTCTCTCAAGCCGCATCCTGGTCTTCATTGAGGTTGCATAGACCTGTCAATGTGGTTTAGAGCACAGTGTGCACAGTGTGACTTACTGTGAGCTATAAAAATGATCAGAACTTCGCTGTGTAGTTGATGGCAGCAGTCAGCCATTTAAGATAACACCTGTTGTCTAAAGTGAACACAGGTCTCGTCAGCTATACAGTGAAGTTTTGAGCAGTTTGAGAGAAGTTTTGACTATTGACTAGTGCTTGTTTGTAGCTCTAAAACTAATGTAGTTTGTAGTTTAAAAGTAATAAATAAAAAAATTAGACACCAAACATGTCTTGGCTGATCAACTACAAGTGGGGTAAGTGGAAACTTGCATAGAAGAGTTTTTTGCTAAATTGTTCATTTAAATAATATTTAAGAATTTCAGTAACATTTTAAAGTCTGTGTAAATTCAGAAATTTGTTTCTAAATACATTATACATGTTAAAAAATGCTGAAAACGTGAAAAGACTGAACTATGTTTTTCATCGTTTTTGTGTTCAGGATTTTTGGGTGGGCCTGAAATCATGGCTCAATGACGCACTGGAGCCATACTTAGCATGACCCCTCCCTCCAATTGTATAACGGTATAAAAAATAGAGCACATTAGCATCAGCGATTCTTCTAGCCTAACTGTATTTGGCTAGATTGTGCTAGTCAGTAATACCTATTGCTAACTTGCATAAATGGGGGAAAAAATTTCCATTCTGCTACAGACTGAGTGTGTTTGGTGTGAGAAACTCAGAACACACTTTTACTACTACTTTACACGGACTTTAAAAACCGACTACTGAATTTGATGCGTTGTGCTATGCGCAGAAGAATCTGTGGCGATCATTTATCCACCAACTGTCATGGTGATTTGACTGTCAGGAGCTCAGCCATGGTAGTTAACAGTACACCAAGGTATGATGCAAGTCTTTAAAACGATTGAATTTCAGACTTTGATGACCGAACAAAGGAATGGATTGATGGCTTTTGCTCTGGCTCTGACTACGTGTCAACTTACACATATAAAAAGACTTGGATCACATGATCAGAGTATAGCTACCAAAACTTTTCAGGCATTCACAAGCATAAGTTCGTAGTGTAAGGTAATCTCTCGTATGCCAGGTCACTCAATAGGGCTTATCTGTTGGAGTCTGGGAGCTGTCAGTGAGGATGACAATAGCTTGAAAATGCCACTACAACAAAGGGATCCCTACGCATACCTTATCAGAGCCAAGCTAAAGTATGGATATGTCCAACCCCATTATACTGCAGGCTGGCTTATGGATATCTGGCTATTAAAGACTCAAAGGGAGCAAAGGAGGTCAGCTAAATGTGATCTGCAGGTCTGCACTGGTCTGTCTAATAGTTTGTAAACACAGAGGACAGTCTGCTTCTTGAAAATGCTCAACACATTCAGAAGCGTCACCATCAGGTCATGTTAGGGTAAAAGCCACAAGAAAAGGCCCACTCTTGTTTCAGATCTGATCTGGAAAAAAAAATCCACAGGTGCTTCTGTCCACCCGTCCACTGTGTGAAAACAACTGACCACTATGAGTCTGAAAGAATGCGCAGCTGTCAGGAAGCACTTACTGAGAAAAGGAAATTGATAAGAAAAAGAAATTTTGCTCTAGAACATGAAACCAGACATTTGAGATGTCAAGTAAAGTTTTATGGACTGAGTCTAAATTTGTAATCTGGATTACTTGGACTGTGAGAAGCTGAAAATGCAACTAATGTCTTGAAAAAGTTGAAAAACCGTGAAACCTGCAATAAAAACAAAGGGTAGACACAATAAATCCTTGAAATTTAATACTATATTTAGATGTTGAGGCTTCTATTTAATGTTCTATGTATTTTCTGCTTTTTTCGGATGCTAAATAATGAAAACGTGTGCTTAATGACAGTTTTGACAGGAAATTAAATAAATGATGGGTGGTCTCTGACTTTTGCACAGTACTGTAGATGTTACCAAAGTTATTGTACATTTCTACCAACAAACTGGGCTAATTCACAGCTGAAAATGTTCTCTCCTCAATCTTTTCAGAGACACCAGTATCCATTCTGAAAAAGCTAGAGGATAGCACTTTTCCAGAGGGCACTGGAGCTACACTTGAGTGTGAGCTGTCCAGGCATAATGTTGATGTTAAGTGGACAAAGGTAAGATTTTCTCAAACGGTCTGCATTTTTATTTATTTCTGTCAATTGCATTAAACCCTGTAAACACTTCTGGAAGCATATAAATAATTAAGAGACAGATACTTTTAAATTACTGTTCAATAATAGTAATAATTCTAAGTATTTTCACCATAAGATTAAATTAGACTGCACACATTTAATGCATTTTGAAGATGGAGACTATGATGTTTTGAAAGCTTGAAATTCAGGTTATCAGTGGTCTTTTTCTATAACCTAGAATGGACTAGAACTTAAATCAGGCAAGAACCTTCGCATATACTCCATGGGGAGGAAGCGCTTCCTACAGATCTTGAGATGTGAGCTGGGAGATTCAGGTGTATATGTGTGCGACGCTGGAGATGCCACTACTTCCTGCTCTGTGGAAGTCTATGGTAATGAAAGGAGATTTATAAATAACATTTCCACAGCCCTAAACCTGCAGCATGTGTCCCTCAGTACAACACTGCCACCCACAGGACAAAGGATAGTAACACTTTAAAGGGGAATTCCACTGATGTTTCAAAATTTAGGTGTAATTAAATCCTTACGATAAATTAAATAAATGTGTCAGGCTCCAGTCCTCGCGGGCCAAAACACTGCAGACATCAGCACAATGCCTCATTATACACACCTAAATCAGCTCATCAGCTATTTAGCAAGGCCTTCATGAACTGAATTCAGAGTGTTAGATAAAGGTAATCGCTAATCTCTCAGCACTTTGACTCAAAAGATCCCCAGTTTGACATGCCTGATGTAGACAAAGTCTTTGAGTGGTTTGACTTGAAATGCTTCTTTCTAGAGAAACTTACTAAATCAGAATTGTTTGCAGCAGTGGTGATAGGAACCAGACATCATAAAGAGTTTAATGCCTCACAGAAAATGATTACATAAAACAGGTACAAACACACTGCCTGACGTCTGACACATTGTTTTATGATAGTTTTGATGTGTGGTAAGGAGAGGTACATGCAGGGTGACGGAAAGGCATTTACCACTGTTTTATCTTTATCATAATTAAATATAAAAATTCAGATGAGTGTTTTACTGGTCAGTTTGAATAGTAAATAAAATGCCTTTATTGATGTTGTGGACATCGAGACCCCTGGTTTCTCTATAGCGAACCATTTTGCATCAAACCACTCTGAATGACTTTGTTTTCATCTCAAACACTGAATTATACAGAATGTCCCTAAATTTACATAATAGGAAGAAGAAAGCTGTAATTATATTTAATTTCTTAAGAGAACAGTTACTGAAGCTCCTTACAGAATACAATGATATAAATTAAAATAAACAATAATCTACAGTAAACTCGTCCATTACAAGTTACACTCCAATCAGTGTGAATTAACTGTAGTCCGCAGAAGCTCTAGCAATTTGTCCCCCTTTATTGGTGGAGATATCCTGTTCTTTGTTTGAGAGTGATGGACAGGAAAGGTTGCCAGCCAGTCAGTCACACATTGGTCCTAGGTTAGATGGTCATATAAAACGATGGAGCAACAAAACGGCCTCCGCAAAGCTTTGAGAATCTGGCCTTAGACTCATCTCTGACCTGTACCTTCAGTTTTAAAGACAGTCGTGGTTGTAGTTTTAAATTAAAGCATTTACACTCAGTCGAATGCAGATATACAGTGGCTACAACTGTGTGATTTGCTTTCGGGACAGAGAGGGAGCTTGAAGTGTTGCAGAGTCTGGAAGATCTGGATATTCAAGAGGACCAGAATGCTGTGTTTATGTGTGAAGTATCACTGGATGACGTACCTGGAGAGTGGTTCAAGAATGGGGAGAAAATCAAACCCACCAGCACCATCAAGATCCGACAGGAAGGTTAAGTGTACAGTTTTACTTTAAGATCTACACAAAGCTGGCTTTACAGTATTTACTGTCCTCCTTTGTTCCACGTTGCTCAGTGGGCTATTTCCATAAATTATATCAATGTTATTCAACATGAAAATCCCTGTCTTTCCCTAATAACATTCAAATCCTGAATATGGACTTCAGCAATGTTCAATGCAACGTGCTAACAACTTATATTTTGCCCTGATGCGCAGGAACCAAGCACTTTCTTCTCATGTGCAATGTTAAAGGAGAAGATTCAGGAGAGATTAAATTTGTTGCCAAGAATGTTGAGTCCACTGCTTACCTAGAGGTGGAGGGTAAGTATTTCATTTCCTTTGAATCAATTCACTGTGTCTGGCCTGTCTGTGATAATGCCGTATATCCTTTGCTCTTCTCAGAACTCCCTGTGAGCATAGTGAAGCCGCTACAAGACAAAACAGCTTTGGAGAAGAGCCGCGTCATACTGGACTGCACGGTGTCCAATCCTCGGTGCAGCATCCGTTGGTATAAAGGCAGGAACGTTATCCTACCCTCAGAGCGCTTTGAGATTTGCAGTGAAGGCTGCTATCGCAAGCTTGTCATTCAGCAGGTGGCCCTGGAGGATGAAGGTACATACAGTGTCCAGGTGGGCGACTATACGTGCTCAGCAAGACTCACTGTGGAAGGTGAGACTAACTCAACATTACTATGTTTCGATCCTAATGCAGGGAGGTTCTTATCATGTCAAATCCTGCGAAATATTTTGCATATATTGCTAGCTAATAAAAATTCATTTAACAAACTGGGGGGAAAATGTAAGAGGTAGACTAACAAAGTAAACCAGCTAACTACACAGTTGACGTTTTTTTATTCATATGACTTCAACATGAGTGCCATAATTTTGGCAATTTAGGTTAAACAGAAATTCTTATACAAAATGGCATGTGAAACAATGCAAGTATCTCACCATTATTGGATGTAGCTTGTTGGAAAAGGTCAAGGTGTCAGTCACTTCTTTATTTGTCCTGTACTGCCCTCTAGTGGCTGACTCCAAACTGCACAAGAGGCAAGCTTCCCAATTTAGCCTGGATACTTGAAGACAGTCATAAAAAGCACACAAAATTAATGGAGTCTTTGCTTGCCAGTTATGCTAAATGGCATCATCACAGTAAAATCAATTATTGCTATAATTGTTGTTATTTTGATTAACCTTTAGAGAGATGCAAAGTGCGATTTTGTTTCTTCATCAATACAAGTTCTGTATGGTGAGATAATTCTAAGGTTATATTTGTAATATGGATATGTAACCATGAAATGTAAAACCACTAGAAATGTGCTGTGCAACCAAATACAGACAAATGACAAATTAAAGGGAAAACAAAGTGTTTTTTAGTAAGGAGTTGGGCCAGTATGAACCACCAGAACAGCTTCAGTGTGACTTGGCATAGATTCTACCATCTCTGAAAATGTACTCAAGGGTTGGAATGCTTTTCTTCCAAAAGTTATTCGTTCATTTGGTGTTTTAATGATGATGGTGGAGAACACGCAAGTGCAAATCTTCCCTAGGGGTTCATTTGAGTTGAGATGTGGTGACTGCGAAGACCATATCATATGATTTACATAATTTCCGTACCCATTAAACCATTGACCCCTCGTGCCCTGTGGCACGAAGAAGTGTTTCATCATAGGATAAAGGTGATCAGTCAGAATAACTTTGTATTAATTTACAGTGACCCTCTCCTCTGAGGGGACAAGTAGACCCAAACTATTCCAATGAAATATCACCCCCGCCACAGCATAACATATACACCAGACCCCTTTACTGAAGGGGTTAATCATTCAGGCCTGTACTGCTCTCTTGGTGTATGCCACACATGCGCTCACCCACGTGTGGAGAATATAGTGAAGGATGACTCATCTAACCTTATTACTTTTTTTGCACATCTATGTACACCAGTGTCTATGGTTTTTACGTCACTGAACTCTCAAATGTGCATTTGTCTTTGTAATTATGAGTTTATGCACCACAAGCCGACTATAATATCAGTCTTTGTAATTAGGAGTTATGCACTGCTACCCTACTATAATATCCCTCTCTGTGTGGACTTCTTGCTGATACAGTCTGATCACGTAGTGCCTTGACATTCTCAGTCACCTGAGGAACATCTGCCCTTTTGTTATTCCTTACATATTGCAGTAATGCATGACATCATGATTACTGCGTATTTGCTTTTGCCCACAACTTCCAACTCTATTTACTGATCTCTTTCCCATAAATCTAAATGCAGATGTCATTTTAGTGACTGTTTCTAGTGAAACACCAGTCAGTTGAGCAGTTTTTATGACTGAAGCACCTGCCATCAGTGCCCCAGTAATGAAGCCTCTTTCAAAATCAATTAAATCTTTTACTCTTGATCTAAAATCAAGGTCGACTGGGCCTGCTCAGCCTTTTACGGATGCTATAGAGCATGGTGGGATGTTAATTGCTTAATTGTATCATGCAGTTCACCTGTTTGGAAGCATCTGCACTTATGTTTCTCCACACATTGCTTCAGGTTTTCCTGCAGTTTGTCACCCATCTGTATATGATATGGATGTTGAAATGCTTGCTTGTTTGTTCCAACAGCCCAGTCAATCTTGATGGTACAAGATTTGCAGGACGTGGAGGTGAAAGCCCCAGAGGAGGCCTGTTTTGCATGTGAGGTGTCCGTGCCTGTACTCAAGGCTCCCGTTTGGACTCTGAACGGAGAGGTACTGCAGCCGGGGCCCAGAGTTCTTCTGGAGAAAATGGGAACAGTGCACCGGCTCACCCTGAGGCAGACATCAGAGGACATGAGTGGTGTGGTGGAATTTGTTTCAGGAAAGGCGAAAAGCACTGCAAAACTGCATGTCAAAGAGTAAGTAATGTTTTGTAGCTCTAAAGTGAGAAAATGACGTGCTTAGACTGAGCTTAAATGTACATTCTTTTGATATTCATCTTTTGTTATTTCTTGATTAATGATTATATGGGTAGAACAACTTATCTTCTCACTCCTTTCTAATATCAAGTATGAAATGTTCTTCACCAGCTTGGGTGGAACTGTATGCAAGTGTACTTTTAGAGAATAAATACAAATTAGACCAAAAAGTATATGGAAATTTAATACATTGAATCGATATCAAGCTTAGTGTTATGCTGTATGTAGGAATAGTAATCACTGCTTGTGAAAGGGAGCCATTTGGAATATCTATTCTAGGACATAGAGCCTGAACTTGTAGTATGAACCCAGTTTAGTTTGAAACTCAGTTTAGAATAAGAACTTGGCAAGTCAGTGCAGACTGTAAAATGGAGATTTATGGTTTGATCTGTCCTCTCCACTTTTAATCCACAGATAATCCTTGAGACATGGAACCATCTTGACCTTGTGATTACTGAAATTGATGCCTTGAAGCCAGAGAGTGAAGACATATTCTGCTATTCTTTAATGGGTCAGTGAATGAGGAGTCTCTTTAAAAAGATATTCAAGAGAAATTTTTACAGAATGTGCTTATGTACACCCACATCTATACAGTCAATCTAAATGTTTTGCACTCATCAGAAATTTTAGGCCTGCACAAAAATCTATAACTGTACTTCTTTATTTAAAGTTACAATTTAATATCACAGTATTCCCCATACTCTCCAAGGTTACTGTTAGTTATAATACACTTTGTGTTGGCATAGCACTACTGTCAGTTTATATATCATGGTTTTGTGCATTGTAAATGTCAGTAGACTTACAGTTAACAGTGTCAGGATGAACCTGCAGCTCATGTATTACATTAACAAAACTTAAATTGGTTGAAAAGTCAGTATTTAATTCCTTTAAAATTATGTACATTGTCCTTTGTATAGAAACCTTTTTTCTAAGTAAGTGTTGTTTTGTGGAATGCAGGTTAAAAGGATATTGGGAGGCATAGAATAATATAGGTGTGAACAATCACAGGGCCAAAAGGTTATCGTAGGAAGGCTGAGTACTGAGTGCTAGTTGCATCACATATATGACAGCAAGTCAGAATTATCTGTTAAATCTACACATTAATCAGTGCAGTAGGGAAACGGTGTCATTGACATATAAATGGAAATGTTTTCTTTAGCAGTTGACCTTTTGCATCATCCATATTTATTTTAATGGGCTTCAGTCGATTCACCTTCTGTCTCTAGTAGCCAGTAGTGTTGCTTACTTGTGAATTGTTTCCTTGGTTCAAAAACAGCTGCCAATAAAATACACTTTACTGATCACCCATCTAGTCTTCTTCGTCTTAGCCGTGTGTGTCGCTTGCCAGAATCATCGTGATCAGAATCAACAAACACAAGATGGCTTTTCATTCGTTTCATTTATGATATAGCTCATTCAATACAGTAAAATACAATTAATAATTACAAAACAAGTTTCAAAACTAGGTTACAGTTGACTTAATTTAAACCTGGCATTCCTATTCCCAAATCACAAAACAAGAAAGAAAAGAACATCTCTATCTGTTAATGCCAAATTTTGGTTTGCGCTACGCAAATGAGCAGACAGACAAATTGTGTGGAACAAATGTGCTGTTTGTAGTTCGTTTAAATGTAGCAAAGGGGCAGTACAGTTAAAAAAAGGCAGAGGGTGTGTGAAAATGACAAAGCTATATACATCATACATTACTCATCGAGTATCTCGAAATGGATTCTTAAAAAATTCCACCAATTTTTCAAAAGTTACGCCTAATTACATAATTAAAATGAAAAGTCAGAGTGGTTTGATGTGATGTGCTTCATTCTTGAGAAACTTGCTGAGTCAGAACTGTTCACAGTGGTGATAGGAACCAGACGTCTGGAGAGTTTAGTACCTCTAAAAGCTCCCTCAGAGAAAGTTACTACATTAAATAGTCATTAAAACAGTGCCTGTGACATTGTTTTACAACAGTTTTGAACAGTCTTAGCCTAACTATTTAAAAGTCATTCATGGTGGAGAGGTGCATGCAGGGTGTTGTATGACAAAATAGTACCCAAAGAAAACTTTTCAGATTTACCACTATTTTACCATTATCAACATTATGACATACAAACTCAGGGTGTGTAGATTTACTGGTCATTTTAGATAGTAAATAAAATGGCTATACTTGCATTTTAGACATTGTGACCCCTGGTTCCTATCACCACTGCTGTGTAGGAATTAGTGTCAGTAAGTTTCTCTGTAATGCATCATTTCATATCAAACCACTCTGAATGACTTTGTTTACATCTCAACGAATGAGATATGCAGAAATGTGAAAAATCAGAGGAATTAAACTCCACTCAGGAATTGCCCAAATGGCATCAATTAGCTGCCCCACCATAAGCTCAGAGAGCACAGTAAATGTACACAGTACTACATCTTAATAGGTAGGTGCTCTAAGTCGAACGTCTCTGTTGTTGCAGTACTAGTCAATAGTGGCCATTCCTGACTGGAGCGTTCAGCTGATTGTTGAGAATTCAAAGCTCTTACAAGGTCTTAAATCTTTCTCAAAACAACAAGTGCCAAAGTCAGATAGCAAAATTTGGCAGCCACAACCAGTGGCTGCTGATTGTGGACATGAATGGATGTCCATTTGATTACAAATCGGATTCACTTGCATGGTGCCTTGTATATTGTCATCATCAGGCGCTGAAACCCTGGATATGACAGCTTTAGGATACAGGGAAAAAAAGAAAAGGGGAAAAAAAAAAACAAAGCTGAACATGAATAGTCATTAAACATAGAACCAAACTCTAGGGGGAGCTTTTTCTCTTAAAAAAATTTAATAAATAAAAATAAAAAAGGGACCTCCAAATGCTCGGCATAAAAGTTCTAATCTAGGATCAGGGCTTCTAAAGCACTTCAGAGTGCGGATGCAGTATAAGGTTTCACAAGGTCAGCGTAGACACAGCAGCAGTCAGACGTTAGACCACTGCTTCTACTCCGACACGCTTTATGCACATATGTTGGATACTGTTTTGATATCCAGTGAATCCACTTCCAGGACTGGAGCTGGCTATCCCTGCACTCCCAAGACGTTTTATGTTCAGAAGATCCAGCAGCTCCATTCCATGACCCTAGGGCTGTGCGTCATACAGTAAGACAGTAAGACAGTATCAGGGTGCTGGTGTAGCAGTGGAAATGGTCACTGTAACCTCAGCAGACGCTACTTATTACATTCATTCTACAATGACCTCATGACACAAACAGCATCCAACAGCGAGATAAGCAGAGTGTGCAGAGCTGGGTTAAACAATAGGGAAAACAGATGACTCCTGAACGGACAGCACCACGGTCAGAGGAAGCAGTGAAAGATAACTGAGGCTACCCCTTGCTACATTTCCTTTCAGGAGCTCAAAATCAGCACAGATTGCCTTGTAGATTTTTCAGTTAATGCATGGTATGGTTAAGTGCCATTTCTCTGTATTTATAAGGAAAATACAAAAGCATAGGCTTATTATTCAATCTGAACACCAGCGAGACTATTATATAAGTGGAGAAAGAAAAAAAAAAAGCACTGGTCCAGGCCCACTGGTTGCATATGAGGACCAGTGTGAGAAGTCTTTCTGAGATTGATGAGGCCTCCAAGAATGTACCAAGTCAGACATGCGATAAAGTGACATGTCTGGCATTGCATCAGAGTCAAGAGTGTTCAGAGAGGACTGTACATCCCCACAAGCTACAGCTAACAGAGTTTCACGGAAACATCCGGGTAGCCAGGCTGCTGACCGGAGCGTTAGGCACACTTTTAAAATTTACCCCCATATTTTGTTTGTCCTACTAAAACTAGAAACTGCTTATCCTGATAGTACCACTGTTTTACATTTTTAAAGTTCAGTCTGATACAAGACATAAATCTAGAGTGATTTGAAAAGATTTCTAACTGATGTCATAATACACATTACTGTACATTTGATGATCTGCAGTATTTCAAAGAAAATGTGTGGCCACTTTCAAGTACAGATGAAGAGAGAAAACCAATGGTGCTTGTCAAAAACAAAGCATCTTTCAAACTTTTAGGCCAAAATTATAAATAAATTATTTCTCTCCCTTGGCACAGTACTATGTTCATTATCAAAAGTAGAGAAAGAAGAATCTACCATCATCATCCAGTTAAAAAAAATAAAATGGGTGAAACTCCAACATTACAAACAGCTCAATCATCAATAATCATCATCACCACCATCAAAATCGCTTTCTATCTCTTTTCTTATCCCATCTAAACATCACATCCCACGGCATCAATACTGACACTTGCGAAAGAGTCCATCTGATAGTGTTAAATGACACATTCATTGGCATTGCTATGCAGGAAAAGCTGAACATCCAAAACTAAGGCACCTTGACGGTCATTACCAAGAGGTTTTACTTCTGAAAGAGTGATCTTTAAAAAAAAAGGCAATTTAGTGATAAAAACATTGTTAAGGCTCATGGAGAAGTTTGTGCTTCTACTACAACAAACAGGGTTTGATTCCAGAATACTTTACTTATCTGAGTAATATAAACTCACTAATGGCACATACAGTACAAGACAAACTGTATTTGACTAAGAGCACTTGCCTCACAAATGCCTTTGCTACAGTAAATCCTTGGCCTCTCTGGATAAAATGAAAGCATGTGGTGTAGAATTTTTTAAAAGCTGCTTTAGCTTGTTTACCCATTAGCCCAAAACTGGGTCCTCAGTAGGTGAGGGACCTTGCCAGCTTCCCTTTCATACATCCATAGCTCTGCAAAACCACAACATGATTGTTTAACTGAAGCCAAGCAATTTTCATTTTAAGAAGGGGAACCAAAAAAAAAAGTTTTTTTTTTTTTTTTACAATTTGGTGGGATAAAAACAGACAACATAGTATTATATGTGATTGACATTCATTATTTTGTCCCTACTTGGGTGTTCGAGGTATCCTCATTAAAGAAATGAGGGCTTAAAGGACAGCACTGACATTTAGGCAAATCAGCTCATGTTCAACTGCTTATTGTTTATAATACATGTAAGCAGACACCTGTGATAATCTTTATACCTACAACAAAAGAAGCTAAAGCTTTAAATACACAGAATGAGTTTCTAATAATATTAAATCTCTATCATCCTAAACGTCTTATGATGGTGACCTAATTACTTGACAATGCGGACTAAAATGACAAAATTCTGATTTGGTATTTGGCATACTAGACAGAACGGTTTTCCACTCATGTAAGAAGGTCTACGTACAACAACACACCAACAAACAGAAACACTTATCAGCTTATAAAAATCATCTCACATCTTGTGCCTCAACAAGGCATCCAGGCAAGGAGAAAACGCTACAACTGTTGCAATACTTTGTATATAACAACTTTCAGTTTTGCTGCACATCTGCATGTCGATACCACTGAATTCCCACAAGGCCAGAGTTATGTTTTTATTCTCCACCCTGATTTGGAATGGATGTTCAGTTCCCTTGGCTCTTGTTGAGGGCTAGGGAGCAATTCTGGTTTGCTGCTTTCCTCTCAGAAGGACCAAACCAAAAACCTCTGAACACATTTACTACATATCAAACTAATGAAACATGGTCACTGATCAAAATGTCAGAGCTGTTCTTTAATATGATATATATAAATCTAAGGAGCTGCTGTGCTGAAATCTAGTCATCCAGAAAAGTCTTTTCTCAATTAAAAATCAGAGATACTGAACTGTTAATCCGGACTGTTCATTTAAACAGGGCGTCCCTCTACCTTGCCTTTAAAGTGGAAAAATAAAGAGTTATAAAAAGAAGGAATAACACACATTCGAGTGTTAAAAATCAATAAAATTTCTTTTTTTTTTTTTCTTTTTTAAATGTGTGCACGATAAAGCAGTCCTTCACAGTTCCATCGGCCATACCAGGTTTCATTCAACTTGTTTTCTTTTCTGTCAAACATCCTGCGAATGGAATTCTGGGTAGGTGATGAGGACCGAGCCGGCGGCTGATCCTGTTAGCGGGGAAGTGGCGCTCTGAACCCACCAGCCTCCCTGGCCCCATAGTGAAAGCTGCTCCACGTATCATGCTAGCTGCTAGTCCTCTGCTGTTTGAGTACAGCATACACATCATCCACTTTACTGAGTCTCTCAAAGAACGGGATCAGATCCAGCAGCTCTGTGTCGGACATGTCGTCAAACCAGGAGGCTACGGGTACCTACAGGTGATGAAGCAACGGCACGTGTTAAAGACAGCTATGGTAAAAAATGCTTCTGTTGACTAAGCAAGTATATACATGGTCAGAGAAAACCCAGCAAGACAGGCTAAAGGGTGTGTCTACACTAGTCTCACAGGGTCAAATCTCATTCCAGGGACGTCTGTGGCCAGCCATGAGAAATTTTGGCCGAATAGTGGGAGCGAGTCTAGACTTATGAGGGTGGGGAATAAACTGGCTGTGAAATTTCGAAACCAATCCAACACCTTGTGAAGGTGGCGCTGAAAGTGGGGGTGATGGTGAGCTGACAGACAACAAGCCTAATATCTGTCGGATGTAGAGTAAGTTAATATGGCTGAAAGTACCCATGAAGAACTCCAATTAAGCTTGTAATGTGTGTTGTGAGTGTAGAGAACATATTATATAAAGTAAAAAGAAACACTACCGTCTGCCAGGGAAAAACAGTTCCGTTAGCTAAGGATAGCGTTCCGCTACCTAGCTTGTTTTTCTTATGTTATTGGTTGTACTCCAGACATTAGAAGGGCACATACTAGACGAATTTGGGGGCAGGTTTTAGAGAAGGCAAACCCTGGTGGATGGTGTGGATTTCACAGAATATGAGATCACACCAGGCCCCACAAGACTTTGTCCACACTTGTGCTTATTTATTTAACTAGATCGAGCAATAGTTTAGCTCTTATCTCTTTGGTTATACAACTCCAGATACTATGGATAAAAGCTCTGGATAAAAGCGTCTGCTGAATGATTAAATGTAAAACGTAAACACGTAGATGTTTTTATAAAAATACTACTAATAATAATAAAATGAAACAAAACGTTTGGGGACGTACAGCATTGTCTGGGTGAAAGATGTACGATGCTGGTGAATTATCCACAATGATGACTTTATTGAGGTCCCTGCCCAAACGGCTTAGATCCTTGACATAGTTTCCACGATGAAACACGCAGGATTCCCGAAAGAGACGGCAGCGGAAGGCACCCCACTTATCCAGCAGATCTGAGACTGGGTCTGCATACTGCAAGCAGGGGAAGAGCCGAAAACAGTAAATTCAGAATTCACATCTTTTAGCTTTTGTGCTTAACAGTAACCCGAAAAATCGTTACTCAGTCTATTTTAAGAGTAATGATATTGGGATGATATTAGCAAAAAAATGCTGGTCATATACTGAAGGGAACAACAAAATGAGCTTTGGCTTCTAATACATAAACACATTTTTAGAATTTTTTTTACTGGTGAACTAAATTATGACCCTACTGGGTTAAAAAAAAAAAAGTCATTGGTTTCCAGAGACGTTCTGCCACATGCACACAGTGCTACTGTGTTTCTATCACTATGAAAACATGATTTGTTTAATCAGAGTAACAGTAAAGCGCAACTGATGTGTGACTATTCATGTGTATTCTTGTTCAAAGAGAACACAAACCGAATAAAAGTCTCAGAAACATTTTTTCTGCATATCAAACAGTGCAACTACAGCACTAAGAAAAGAATGAAAAAGAGTAGATAAACTGGCAGAAATATTTTTTGTGTCAGTTTTAAAGACTTAATCAAAGTGTATAAATTAAAAATAGCTCATATTAAAAGTGTAGTAGTTTTCAAAGGAAAAAAAATCAGCTTGGTATCAGCCGATACTCAAGATTTTTAATATTGGTACCGGAAAAAATAGTAGCATCGTGTCAGAAACTGCATAAGAAAGTCTGTTTGAGGTTACTTAACAACTTGGCACAGTTTCAGGAGAGTGTGTGGTGATTTGACATGCGGTTAGCATAATACCAATTATTATTTACCAATAATTATGTTATTCTCTTTTAAATGTATTGTTTTAATCATGTTCTAATCAAGTTTTTCATCTCCCAAGTCTTTTTAAAATTTAATTTTAATCATCTTCTCATTTGTAAAGCACTGTGACTGACCGCAGTGTATGAAAGGAGCTATATAAATAAAGTTGTTTTGCATGGATGTAAGCTTCCATTACTTGTCAGCTACACTGGTCTCATTGCTCAATGGCAAAACTAAAGAATCACATTTCTTGGTTGATCGTCTACATTTAGGGTAACAGGAAAATAACAAAATCTGATTTTTCAACAAACTATTTCTTAAAAGCTTAATGCTATCAGACAACACAGAAATGCAGAAGTTTTAAATTAGAACTCTTTACCTTGGCTAAGCTTGCAGTGAATAACACGCATTCAAATAATTCACCCATCCGTTTCAAGAACTCATCAACATGAGGTCGCTTTAGCACATACACCTGGGACCAGGAAGAAACCAAAACAATTGTTAGACAATACTGAAATCTTCATCACCAAACCTCATTACCAAAATCTTTCAGCTAGCAAGACTGAGCAAATTCCAAAGAAAAAACCTGGCATGAAATCAGTTCAGTTTAATATGTTCTTAAACACAATTCCTGTGTATAGCAGATGAGCAAATGAACAGGCTGGACGTTACTCTTCATCTCGGTATGGCAATCCAGTCCAAAAGCCATTTTATGGACGTGTCAAACGATACACACACATTTAAGATATCTCGTAAAATGGATCGATTTACACAGGCATCTGGGTCAGCAAAATGGATTAATGAAGCCAGTGGTCTCGTTCCTGAACCAAGTCATCCCGAATAGGCTTTCCCGACATCACAAGCCTATCCTGGATTACTTGAACCAGGCCAAAGCCGTGGTGAGTGAGACGCCTTCAGTGCTGCGCTCGTTGGACTGGGGCTGGATCTGCCCTTTAAAGGGCCCTGATGTCAAGCTGCCAGGGCCGTGAGTGGGGGATGAGCCCAGAGACAGATTGATGGGCATGGAGTTCTGAGAAGCCAGTCAGGCTTGCTACGTTTTGTCAGTGCACGGAAATAGCCCCCTGCTGCTCAGAGCCATCAACAGTGAAGGCCATGATGCTGTCAGGTAGCGCACCGGTGTGTGACACAGTACATACACACTGCAACAACTAAACACTGAGGAATGGAGACACACTTCAGGGAACACTGCTATTACAAATAAGACGGAGTAACATTAGCATGTGGAACAGTTAAGAGAGAGTGTTACTTTATCTCTGCATATAAAATTAATGCACCAAAACCTGGTAAAGAAACACAGCTTGCTCACCTGGTGTACAGCCCCATCAATTTCCACTGGAATGATAAAATCAGCATTGTTCACTGGCTGTAAAGAGCAAAAACAAAAGGAAATCCAACTCAGAACACAAATTAAAATAATGTAGAAACATACAGATTAGGGATCAACTGTTGTGAAAATTCTGTGGCCAATACTGACTTTGTGGGGAAAAATAAACCCAATAACCAATAATATCCAAACCAATGCAATTTTAGGTGTTAGATTTCAATGTTATACTCCAAAAGGTTATATTATTTAGATTACATTATATAATATATTGATTACATTGATTAACATGAACATTACGTGATATAATCAGTACAAATATTGTAGCACTGGGGGGTGGAGCTACTCGTAATCATCTATGGTTTTAGTTTCTGTTCAGTATCTCTTATTTTTAATTAGTTCTCTTCATAAAACAGTTTTTTGCGTTATAACATGTTATTCTCTTGTGAAAGGTTAGTTAAAATTTTCATGTTTTTGTCACTTTAACCATGATAGTGTGTTGTGCTCAGATTCTCCTGGCTTTAATCAGCCTATACTGCTGTCATATTAGAGCTGGGCAATATGACACTATTTATTATGATTATTAATTATGTCACAGTACATCACAATGTGCTTTTCTATGCGTTTTCTGGATATCATCTGTACAGAAAGAACAATTGCATGTTTCATTACAAAGAAAGCGTAGCTAGTCTTGTTTAACTGAAATTAGTGCAATACAGTATTTGAAATGTTACAGCAAATCACTTGTACCCAGTTTTTGACAGCATTCGTTAAATGTGGCATTATTTCTGTTTTGTCTGTGATCAGTGTATCAGATGTCAGAAAAAATACATTTCAAGACATATTGTGTGTTGTGAAAATTTAAATATCATGATATTATATTTTAGCCATATCGCCCACCCCTATTCCATATGGGTAAAAAGTCAATGTCTCATATTAGGTTCCCCAGTGACACATCAAGTTTTGCCCTGTCATCAAGAGGCTTTGAGTTCAAATCCTGGCAATGCTGCAACCAAAGACAGTAGCTCAGTTCTATCATGTTATCGACAATATTTTTACAGATAGCGGTAAGACCTTGGGTCACCAAATTTGGGTGATGATATAATTGTAACAATATATTGGTCGGGTCTAATATAGACATATTTTTAACCAATTAATAAATGTCATCTTTTAAACCAGAAATGAGCCTCAGGCAATTAAACCTGTCTGAGCAACACAGTCTCTTGTTCAAATCTTGTGATCTACTAATATTAGCCCATATACATTGCATCTAAACAGCCTGCTGGACATTAATATTTGAAGATCAGCCAATCTGTGGATAGATATCTGTGTGAAACCCAAACACACCCTCAATCTGCAGTATATTATGGCTGAGGCCTCGGTAAACACTGAGGTGCAGTGTGTTTATAATATATAGCTGCACGTGAGCATACTGCTGGCTCCACACGAGTCCTCAATCATTCTGAGTTTACTGGACCTGACAGTCTCATAACCAGTCAGATGCACTTAGAGCCCTTAAAACGTGCATCTCAAATGTTAATCATAAGCCTGTGCTATTGAGAAGGAGTAGGACACCATGACCTACATTCATAGACTGTGAAGTAACATTTAGCCAGCCTTGAACAAAAAGAGGAAAAAAACTCAGTGACATCACCCTAAAAAAGACAAACACACAAGCTAAACGTGAACTATAGTAAAAGACTTGTTGCTGGGATCACTGTCTTAATTGTCACCGGTGACACAATACTAGTGTGACTGCTGACACTCTAACATTATCCACAAAAAACAACATTCCACTTCCGTCTGTTTTCCATTACGCCTCACATAACCGCTTGCTGATGTAATGTACCTCAACTCAGCAGAGGGAAAAAAAAATCTTCCATAAAGAGTCAAATCAGGCTGGCGGGATGTCTGCGCTCATGAATGTAACTATTTATTTTGGTGGTTTTTAAAATTTCGTTTTCAATAAAAATATTAAGGCTGCAACAAATCTTCAATAAATTATTTATCAAATGTTTATCAGGCTAAATGCTAACTTGTAGCACACAGTTTCCTGCTCTGCAACAAGAGTTTGATTTGCCGCAATTTTGGTTCCTAGCTAGCACTGTCGCTAGCATGAATTGGTAGCTACCTAGCATGTTCTTGTTAGCATTTACAGCTGAGAATAAATAAGAGTCTGCTGGCTAGTTAAGTGTCCAGAGACAGGAAAGTGATTAAGACTGCAGCAGGCGTTAAAGCCTACGTGGCTGAGTGTGCTCTGGATTTTGAGCGGCTTAACAATGTTCATCACTCCCCTGTTCACCCTGATAGCAAAAGGACAGTGGACCACTGTCAGCCTGCTGATAGCAAAGCTGGCGGTCCACTGGCGTTTTGCTCAGTGGTTTCTGGGCGGCCCACCGGCGTTTAACCAGAGTATTGGACAAAATTTCACTTATCAGTGCTCAGTTTCCAGTCTAATTTACTTATTCTTCCTCCCTTCCTTTCTTTAGTTATACTTAAATAAATTAGTTTAGTAAGTAATTTTAATCCAGCTCAGTGTCAGCAACATTTTTCAACAAAGTCATTTTATATCAGGTCTGTGCATCTAAAATCTGTGTAAGGAGATTAAAAACTAGTTCGAGATTGTATGCAGGACAATAATCTGGGTGGTCCAGCAGTGGCATACAGTGAGTGGGGTGCTGACCTTGTCAAGCCAGCGGACAGATAAATGCTCTCCTGCTCTGCTCAATGCTATTCAAACAGAGCCAGCAACCTGATCATGGTTGCCAGACTGAGCATGACCCCTAGTTTAGCATTTTAATGCAACATACTAAGAAAATAAGTATTCAACCTTGTATTATTAAGTTTTATTAAAAAGCAAATCCAATAAATAAATAAATATTTGTGCAATACAGTGTAAAAAGTGGCTCATCAGATCTACCTAAAAAAGTACTTCATGTGGTAACAAGTAAATAAACTAGGTTTATTCAACCTCAATAAATACTACGAATGAACGATTCTTTTAATCAATGTAGTATTTAAAGTTTAATAAAACTAGTTTAATTGCTTTTTACCACATAACGTAATTTTTTTAGGTAGATCTGATGAGCCACTTCTTCCAGTGTATAACACATAATAATAATGATAATAATAAGAAGAAGAAGAACGACAACAATGAAAGCAACATTAAGAATAATGCTTTTTTTTCAATTATTAAGGTGAAACATACATTGTTCTTTTCTTGAAGATAATTTTTCAAGGAATATTCAGAAATTGAAATATAAAAGAGTTGCAGCCCCAAGAATATACATATCAACTGATTACAAGAACAGTAAGAGCATGAAAATGAGAGTGAACATGTCAAACCAATCAGACTTTACTGTTCCAGATAATATTGACAATTCCAATTCCAAACATTCTCGTTTAATGGGCAGATGTGTAAACCTCCTTTAAGGTTTGTGACTGATCGAGTATCACTTGGAACATCATTCATGGACATATGGCGCTGTCCCTACATGCAGCATGTAAACGATCAAGTGTCTGTTATTTGACCAGCACCAAGGCCATACTGGGGACCTTAGTGATTTTTGAACTGTGCCCCCTGCTGTGCCCCCTGGTTGCCAAATATGCTGTGTTGCTGTGCAGGACGTAGCAAGTGTTCCTTCACAAAGTTGCCCTTTTGCGTTTCACACGTTCCTCACATTATTTGTTTGCCAAAACAAAATCATACTACTACAGACACAGCGATTGCGTAATGCTGTGAAACTGATCAACTCCTTCATGTTTGAATTATGTTTGGCAAACTTTGGTATCGAATGTCTGGACATAACATTCAAGTCAAGCAGATCCCATAGCCATGATGTACGCTTTCTTACTTCACCATATTGCAAACAAGCCATACTGACTTGTGATCAACTGCTGACACTGACGCTTACCTTGAATGAACTGTGCACTAGTGTTTCATCCAGATCGATCACTACACAGATCTTTCCTGTGTCTTGAGACTTCATCTGCGGTAGAAGCGGCTTGGGTGGCACCTGTGAACAGACAAATTGGACGGCCTGATCAATGAAGAGGTTTATAGGATAACATACTATTCAGTGAATCAGTCAATTCTACAGTTTTACTATAAAAACTGGATTGGTGCATGAAATACAAGCATACAATACAAGCCAAAGTCAAGCTGTTAAAAAAGGACAAATACACAGCAAGTTTTCAAAAGCATTGAAGTGAAATTAGGTCATTATCATCATTCAGTATAAGTGGAATACAGCAGACCTGCTGTGCCAGAGGAAAAAAAAATATCTAGTTTTATGAGCGAGTGATTTAGGTTATAGAGGTGAGTAACCATGAGGGGGCATATGAGAGCACTTTGACTGGTTGCATTCCGCAGCCAGATCGTGTGACTGTGTGCTGCAGGGGTGGGATTACAAGGCTGTGGGCCAGTCGGCTCTTGATCAAAAAGTACCAAGTGCATACAGGGCTGATGATTGAAACAACACACAGGGCCTAAGAATGAAAACGTCTCCTACCAAAGGAAGATATTAACTAGCACACAGAAAACAGCAGATATGTGTCCAAGGTTATTACTGGGTTGGGATGGGGCACAGCAGATCATGTCTTTCAAAGCTTCTGACTTAAATAAGAAGCCATATGGCATGGAATAAGAGCCCCATGTGGGCTGCCGCTTTCCTTATTTAAGTTTTGTTGCTGCTTTCCATATTTAATTTTTGTTGCCATCGAGGTTCAGCTAAAGTCACCACACAGCTGCATCAGAGATCTGAAGCTGTTTAACAGCAGATCAACAGATTTGAACAAATCAAATAAAACCATGAGTGCAAACTTTTGTCGTGTTGCAGGCCAAATCCATGCATTTATAGCATCAAGTCTTACATGACAAGCTTTCACATCCTAACTGAAATTAGTTAAAATGAAGTAGTTGCAATCACTACCTTGTTTACATGGGACTTAAGCACTGTACCTGATCAACAGATGGCACACAGAATTCACAATCGCAGGAATCTGGGAACTCATCATCGTCAGATGCCTCACTGTCCTCAGAGGGCTCTTCTTCTTCATAGTCGGCCTTTTCCTGACTGGCTTGCTTAAAAACTGTACTTTCCTCACTATGCTCTGTTGTTTCACATCTTGAAACTTGGTATATTAAGTCTTCCAACTTTTTACTACTCTTGCTTTGTGCTGGGAAATGTTCTGTTTCCGTTTCACCTGTCGACACACCACAAGGCTCAATAAGCTCCTCATTTTCATTTGACTGCACCTCAATGCCATTTTGAGTTATCAATAGTTCCTGATCTCCATTTTGCACACTCTTCTTCTCATTTAACAAGGTGGGCTCCTCAATGTGTATTGCTACTTCTTCAAAGCCAAATATAGAGGCCTCATCATCTTCAGATGTTTCTATCTCTCCACAGCATGGTCCGTGAGCCCCTTCAATTTCATCAATGGTTTCATACACCTCACAGTTTTCATTCACTGGGGTCTCATCAGTCAAATCAAGCTGGTGTGTTTCATTTTCATTTTCTTCACCTGTTTTCTCAGGAACGAGGTCTTGTGTAACTTCCTCTGTCACATTTTCAGATACCTCATTTTCTGCAGTATTTATCTTTTCAGAATGTGTTTCACAGGTGTTGATTTCATGGTCATGACATGTACTTTCAACAGAAAATGGATCCAAGCCATCTTCTGACAAAGTCTCATAGGTGTCTTCAGCCTCACTGGGAAGCCTGTCAGCTTCACCTGCTGTACTGCAGTTCTCTAACACAGTGGTTTCTCCTGATGAAGCCTTGCAAGTGTCTTCAGCTTCACTGGGAAGTCCATCGGCTTCACTTGCAACTTCCTCATAGGGTTCAATGACCTCTGTTTCTTCAGAGAGTTCACCGCCCCAGCCTTCTACAGCATACGGTGTGGTGCCCTCATCAAGATTAAGTCTATAACTCTCACCCTGACCAGCCTCTGTGTGTTCAGTGCAGGGTTTGTGAGCTTCACCATTCCCTACAGACAGTCCCGAAGACAGAGCCTCTGCATAAGTTTTATAGACTTCTTTTTCCATTACGTTTTGTTCAGAGCAAGAGTGGTTTTCCTCATGTGTATCTACCATGTCATGTCCATATTGTTCACAGGCATCATCATGACCATCACACAGCTCATATGGCTCAGTATAATGTTCATAAGCTCCATCTTCCTCATAGAGATTCGGCAAACCTTTGCTGTCATCAGACTGATCAGGATAGATTTCGAAACTCTCCGGTTCGTCTGCAAAACTTTTAAACGATTCATCTGTTTCAGAGCTGCTTTGGCTTTTGCTATCAATACAGTCAGCATACTCTTCCTCGCTAGATTCATCCAGAGACCCTGCTTTAACAACTGATTCTATGGCTCTGCTCTCATCAGAGCCAAGTTCAAGAGCTTCTGCCTTAAAGCCACAAAGTTGGAAGAGTTGAGTGGGTTCATCATAATGAAACTGTCCTTTTTCTCTCCTTTCACACACCCCGCAAAGCGTCCTCTGCTCAGCTGAGCCATCTGAGGCTTCAATTACAGGTTCAGAATCATCATTACTGTCACTGCTGAGTAATTCGTCATTTGGCTCAGTGATTGCAACATTGAGGTCTGCCTGGTTTCCGAAGGTATTTTGTTGACAGTGATCATCAAGAAACTGAGAGAGCCAGCGTGCCTCAAAGGTTTCCATCGATCCAAAAAACATAGCATCACAATCTGAGTGTTTTCTAACCTTGTTGTTGTTGTTTTCCATGGGAGGGTTTTCTTTGGGGAGTTCAGAGGTGTGAAACACGGAACGCTGTGTTCCAGAACTCTCACACAATTCCAGGCACTTTCCGCTTTGTTCTGGGTTCTCAGAAGGGTCAGTAGGCTCAGAGGGACTGCACTGTTCAGAGATTTCACATTTCTCAAAGTATCTTCCACAACTCAAGCACTGTACTAGCATAATATCATTTTCAGACAGCTGGTTGTAGCTGAAAAGCTCTTGTTGAGTATAATTTTCAGTCTGTTCCAAAGTGTGTTCATCAGAAACCTGGCTTTGATCTGTGCTCTCAAACGAGTGAGTATAGGATCCTGGGGCAATTTCAGGATTTAACTGTGTGTCATCTATGGTTTCTCTTTGTTCAGCAGGTGGTTGCTGCTCAAGGGACCCAGAAAGCCAGGCAGGCTTGCTTTCTCTGGAGGCCTGGCACAGTTCGGACAGTTCAAAATGTCTGGTATGGCATTCAGAGGGCATGTTTTGATTGTTAAGCCTGCACTGTTCGAGGTATCCGCAGGGTGGTGAATCCAGATCCAATTCTGTGTTTTCACTGTGTGTGCTGCACCGTTCATACAAATCTGAAACAGTGATTTCCTCAGAACCATCAGAGGTACAGTACTCTTCTGAAGGTCCCTCAGATTCTGCTTCATGTTCAGACAGCGTGTCAACGTCTGCGGAGACAAGCTCAGGAATTTCAGTATCTACCTGCTCGCAAAGATCAGACATGACATCCGACAAGGTAAATGGTTCATTGTCATGTTCAGCGATCTGAGTTTGCTCACTGATTTGAGACTCTGTGCTACATTCAATTTTTTTTTCTTCTAAAGAGACAAAAGCTGTGCTTATTGCAAGAGACTCACTGTGCTCCAAGTCGTAGTCAAACAGACTGCTGTTCTCAGAAGAATCAAATCTGTCTTGCACCTCTAATAGCTCTCCATTGAACTGCCCATTTTCAGTATAATCTCCATCAGGCTGCATTAGTCCAGAGATGGTCTGGTGCACCATAAAGTCAACAGATTTCTCTGCAGAAATCATCCTGGATTCAGCTGCAACTTCCAAAGACTCCTTAGGATAGCCTTGCTGTGAGACTTTAGAGGGGTCAAAAAGTTCAGCAGGCATGTTTGCTTCAAAGCACTTGCTTCTAAAAAAGGTAGAGGTCTCCAAGTATTTAGTGATGTTGCTCCTCACAAAGGACTTGCTCTCTTCAAAAGATCTGCACAGCTCAGAGGCTGTGAAGCACTCCAGACATTCTGAAACAGGTTTGCTCTCCCCACAAAGTCTGCAGAGCCTGGCAGGTGGACAAGGGTCCTCTAGGTCTGCCTGCAGAGGGGACTCGCGGGAGAATGTGGATTCGCTGAGCCCACAGGCTGCCTGAGACGACAGCAGCAGTGCACACGTTGACATGACAGGAGGATCAGAGCCACACTGAGTCCTGCACTCAGCCCGCCTTCAGGAGACCTACCAATTTATTTTAGGGGGCTTCAGAGACGTGACAAATAACTCCTGGAATATCAAATCACTATAAAAAGCTGAAGTAAGGCATAAATCTGAAACTGACACCCGAGAGCGTCTTGACCACCTGATCTGCTAGTAGCTGCTAACTGCCATGTTGTTTTCCAAGAATGGGGTTCAATTGAATCATTGGTGGCTTTGTAATTTGTGAGAACACGCTAACATATGGCTTAAACTGTGCTTAGAAATTATACAGACTGTCTTTTATTAAATTCAAATGGAACATGGATTAATTATTTATGTTTTATTAATCTTTGGGCGGGCAGTGGAAAGAGCAGCATGTTGGTTTAGTTCACAAATATGACTGATGACCAGCACTGTAATATTTGTGTTATTGGCCATTGAGAATTAGGATGTAAACAGGAAAAAGCTTGCACAAAGCACATATGAGACTTTTGGTTTCCTCACTGACATCTCTGATCATGTGGCCCTCGACTGTGTTAACCACAGGCTGCCCCGTAGCCTCAGATCTGAGCACAGGGAGGGGTGGGGAGACTAAAGAGGGAGAGAAACTTTGAATTAAAACTTAGAGAAGAAGTACTGAGACCAGGTCTTACTTTTGAGATGGTTCCATTCTCTTCCACCAGGAGCGGCGCATTGTTATTGACAGGCAGCTGGTCTGCTTCATCGTGACACAGGCAGCAGAAGAAACTGTGAAAAAAGCCACGACTGCGGGGCTTCTTAGAGGATGACGCAACATGCGCAGGAGTACCTGAAACAGAGAAGACCACTGGGTCACTCCTGGACTGGCATGCTGCTGTGTACCGACCTATTATATCTACACCAACACAATAAGATCTGATAGCTCCATCAGGATTCGCCACACATGTTATCTGTAAAGAGTTACCAAGTAACTACACATGCACACAACAGTTTATATATACATACATCCACATATACACCCATATATCTCGCTGTTGTCAGAACAAAACCTTGTATCTCCAAAACTTTACAGGAGAAGGAAAAAACATACTTTACTTTTAATGTAAGTCAATGGAACCAATCTACAGACAATGTATAGGACAATGGGTACTTCCAAATTATGTCAAAAACTGAAAAACAACAAAAATGAAGATACAAGGTTTTGTTCCGACAGCAGCGATATGCATGTTCCACTTGATATCTGGCAAAGACAGAGCTGGACAAATAAATACATACTAAATCAAATCAGTTTTGGATAAATAATGGTAATAAACAGCAATACACAGCAGAAATGCGGTTTGATCTTGGGAAATGAAAATTATAAGAATAGTGAACTTATTTCTACAATTTTTACCTGCTTTAAGTTTAAATTTTACTGGCAAATACTTTTACAGATAACTGTTTATTAAAACCAATGAAATGATCTGCATTCCATCCTGAAACTGAATAAAACAAGACACAATTTCTAGATAAAATGACTGAGAACAAGCAGAGGACATGTAGAAAAAAGTCTTATAATACTCTTACAACAATCTCAAAGTCAGCAAAAGTAGATATACTGACTGCTTTGAGATGTTTTCACTTGCCAGGATATCATTTTTGCAGTGTAACACTCTAATATCAATGTAGGCTAGACCTGACTAACCGAGGTGTCCACATAATCTGAAATATTGTCCATTTCCTTTATTTACACAGGCGCCTTAAAAAAATCTGTTCAATATATAAAATCAAAGCTGAGGCTTAAAGCACATTTGCTTTCTTGGTGAATATTATGCTCAGAATGTCATCTGAGAAATATTTTTATGCTGTGAAAATGCTGAGGGACAGCTGTTTGGCAATTTCATCGTACGTCTGTATGTCTGAAAACACCAGCCGTGGATTTTAAGAAGGGTGGAGCCATGGAGAGAGGTCATTAATTGGAAACACATGTCTACCACACCCACAAGCTCCCAAACACACACAGTATTCCCTATACTCACTACGTTACCACAGCCACCCCACATTTCATCTCGATTCCTTATTCAGGCAAAGTCTGAGCCACAGTAATCTCACACACCTCAGCACTATCTGCTGTTAAGTATGATATTTGTCAGTAAGTACAGCAGATGAACACAGGAGTTCAGCGAATAGTGAGACATTACGAGGAGTCCACGCGATTAGTGACCTATGTTCGGCTCACGGGGAACAGCAGTGCCCTGGTAGCATGCAATTGAGAAGAATGGTGATGAGTGCTGGTGTTTGGCAAGACAAAATCCTGTTGACTGCAACCAAGATGGACGAGGTCTTGTCAGCATGAAGGGTGAGAAAGCCACTCAGAATTAAAGCATGAGGCTCTCCCAACAATAACAAATTAGTTTTCACAGTTAGTTCTTGCAAAATTTCACCAGGGCGCACCACCACTGCGGGACAGAAAGAAGGCAGTTTAACGAGGTAGTATTTTTTGTTTTAAATATAGAACAGCTCTTTAGAGGTGTATTGAATTTATCTCCCTTATGACATGACCCACATAATAAAAGTTGGCCTAATAACCTGACTCGACCTCAATAATACATGTGTCCAGAAAAGGTTCCAAAAAGTGGACAGTATCTTTGAGTGTACATTCAGTATTTCTTTAATAGAAATGAATGTATGCATATAAGACTTCTATAGTGCTGAGAAATGGACAGACCTCTCCCTGACTGTAAAACAGGCCAGACAGTGCCAATCTGAATCATAGCTGGTAGGTGTGGACAGTAACGGGAAAACACGAGCGAAGGAAAGGACAGGCGATGGGGAAGAAACATCACGCACCACTCCACGTTCACTCTTCTGATGTTACACATCACAGAGTTTTAAATAGCAACGCGCAGGCAGCTGCTGACAGTAGTTAATGATGGCATTCTCTGTATATATAGAGCGCTCCATCCAGGCCATAAACGGAGGCGCAAAACAAAACTTTGTTGTGTGTCTGGAGTGAGAGTGAGATGGATTGACCTGGACATATGTTTGCTTTATGCCGACTAGATCAACAAACATGACTTATTATCTAAGGTTATGTCAGAATTTTCAAATAGTCATAAAATTTTGATAAACAAATTAGCTTCTTTCTTACATTATACATTCTCATATCTAAGAACCATGAAATAAGTAACTCAAAGCACCACCAGAGGGCAGTGTAGAGCCTGCATCTTACATTTTTTAGTCCAAAGAACGAAGCACAGAGAGACTTCTGCAGCCGTCTAATAGCTACCACACACAAGGGAAGAAGTGCTTCACTGTGCAGCTATAACACATAGGAAGTGTCACAGGAAGGTGCTAATGAACTACAAGCTCAAGTTTATTTTACACTCTACTCAAAGATTTAATGGAACAAACCTTTCAGTATCATTGAGCTAATTTATCATGTTTGGAATCACCTAACTAACTATTCACAAACATGTTTTCAATCTAAACGGTACAGACGAAATAAGGTACAATGTGACTAGACAAGCAAGTTAACTTTAAGGTGAAAACAGGTGCTGTTCATTTTAAAGACTTTAGACAAGTACTGCATGATATTGACATGAAATGTGATGTCTGATACAGCTGCTGGATAACACGATGACGGTATGAGAAGTGATAAATTATCTGGCTGGATGTAACGCAAGTGCAGATATTTTTTTTTTAATGTGTAAACAGAAACCTAACTACTACTCTTATTTCTTTGAAATTAAAAGAAATGAAATACTAACAAGTACTTACATCAGAACTGCAAGCACATTTTTTGTGCACTGAAGGGAGAAACAGACAGCATTACCTCATCAGCTTTTTTTACAAAGGCTACAAAACCAAATAAATATATATTCATTACTTTATATAACAAATACATATTCTTGTTTCATTTTTCTTTTGTTTAGTTACTGAATATTCGCGTCAGACACGCTGGGTTGTATTACGTTTAAAAATAACATTGTTCTTGCTTTTGGTTGAGTGCAGTTCAGCACTGTTTTCTTAGTTTGTCCAGGACTCTTTATTTTGAAGAACTCTGGGGGTTGTAAGGTAGTAAGCTTCAGTAGCCCAGCTGGCTAACAGAAAAACAGTACCCCCTGAGCTAGCTTGTGTGCTGTGCGTTTTCCCCTTTGCTGCAGCTATTTTGAGTTGAATTTCCATGAAAGCTGAGTTTTGGGCCTATAGCTTGAGGTTTTCGAGCGAGTTGGCCGTTTGGTGGAATGGTTAAGTCTCTCGTCTCCTGCATGGGAGAGCAGGTTCAGTCCCAGCGCAGACAAGCAGGCTTGTAACTGTTTGTGCTGGTACTGTAATAATGCCTCTCTGGCGCTGCGTGTATGAAGTAATAAGATCTGTTCTGTCATCACAGCTCTAATGATGCGTATATCGCGGTAACGATAAAAATATGATTTATCATGCAGCCCTGCTTTAGACTGATGCTTTTCCCAGCGTAGAATACCATCTACTATGGATGTGTGGGCTGGGTCTATTGTACAGCACAACTAGGTACAGTAATAGTAAAAAAGATATGTAATAGTAGAAACAACAGTAAGAGTTTGGATACTGCACGTTATCCACCGTCCTATGTACCATGCGGAAGCTTTTTTTTTTTTTTACACATTTAAATAGTAAATTAGACTAAAATGCCCATTAAACTGGACATGTCTGTTTTAAACTGCATTAAATCTGATTGGGCAGTCCTGCTTGTCTGGGTGTGGGAGGCTGTGATCCTCTATTCTGTGGTGTTGTGGATGCTGTTAACGAGGCTGCAGCTTCTCCTGAATGACGTGCCACATCACACAGGTCAGTCGGGCTCAGTCTGCGCAGTTAAAGGTAGCTTATCTGAGGCTGTTTTGGGAGTGTTTCCACTCCTAATGCAGTCCTCACAGCTAGAGGCCACCAAATGTCTGACTTAACGACTGCGACACACGATCCCCTTCTTACAATCTGACAACTTGTTTCACGCCATCCGCTGGGAGTGAGAGAGGTGGCAGCGTCGGTGACATTATGTTTTAAGCCAAGTTCACATGGATGTTTAACTAGCAGCAAATTTAACTGACACGGAACAGCGCAAAGACTTTTATCAAGGTAATCGCAAAAGCCACAGTTTCTGCTTCTGCTTTAGAAAGTAGTCAGATGTTGTAACAATATTCACAAGGTATGAACAAAAGTTAATGTAGAGATTTTGTTCCAAGTAAATTTGGACCATTTCTGTTGGTCTACTCATCGTGGAGTCTTCACCCAGCGTAAAGGGCAGCTTCTGTGTAGAAAATGAAGCCGAAAAATAAATGAAAAGGGAAATAACTGTTTTTTTTTGGACAGCATGGGTCGCAATTATTTTTTTTTTTTTTTACATAATTTGAAAGTTTCAGTTAGGCTTTGCATTGTGTCTATATACACACACACATATATATATATATATATATATATATAAATATATATATATATATATATATATATATATATATATATATATATATATATACATACATACACACACACATGCATGTATGAACCCCATATATTTTTATTATTTACTATTACCATATAATTTTAGATATTTTTAATGATTATAATTTAACTAAAAATATTATTTTTATTCTTGTAATATATTTG